AGGTGCGCAATACAGATGCGCTAGCTAAAATGTGCGCTCCGCTACTCTCACGCACCCCACCTCCCTGGTCAACAACTGCCTACACTAATGTGATGCTAAGCTAGCTCGCAACACAGAGGTGTCTCCTCTTCCTCTCCCCGCTTTGTCAAGTGACCTTGGAGAAACACTACACGTGGTGTGAGTTTTTGTAGGGAACCAGGAAAACCCGTAGTGGACTTTTACTGGTTTGAGTATTCTATTAATCAAGTGGAATGGATTTGTTCACAAAGAAATATAAACAGTCATGGGTGAACTATTATTTCATGGTAAATGTGAGGGGGTCCAAATGAATATTTTTTTAATGTGGGGCCGACGCGTCCCCTTCACATGTACCGGTAATTTTTGTGTTTGAAGAGATATTTAGCTAACAGAGAAAAAGGGTTGACTCCAGCAGGTAACGCCGAGGCTTTAAGCATATATGTTGAGCCATGTTTACCCCTGAAGTATTTGTTTAAAACTATGCTCAGCTACTACCACACCAAAATTTACATCAGTATATGTAAAATTTAAACTGACAGCCAGTGGTTCAGAAGATATTTAGCTAACAGAGTTAATTCATATACAGTATATATTGAGAATGTTTTAAATACGGACCTCACACAATCAACTCTCAAAGTATCGGGTGATGATAACCCTCAGCTACTACCACAGCAATATTAACTTGTTACATTTAAATTAGACAGAGTTATCTTTATATTTGCTGAGATCGCTTTACTGTGGTGGCCATTTTGATTAGGATTAAGTCCGAACGATAATCAGTTGTAAATTTCAACCTTATGATTTGTTTCTGAAATTTTGAATACAATCCATATAAGTACATAGAAATACAATATAAATATTGGTACAGCTATGCTGTCAGGGCCTTCATGCCCCTAGTAGGGTCACTCAAGGCAGACAGGTCCTAGGTGAGGAACCAGACAAAGTGCAGCCCAAAGACCCCTTATGATGAGTACAATCTATGGAAATAATGTTCCCTCGCCCGGACGTGGGTCACCGGGACCCCACTCTGGAGCCGGGCCTGGAGGTGGGGCATGCTGGCAAGCGCCTGGTGGCCAGGCTTTTACCCATGGAGCCTGGCCGTGCACAGCCCAAAGAAGCGACATGGGTCCCCCTTCCCATGGGTTCACCAACTGTGGGAGGGGCCAAAGGGGTCGGGTGCAATGTGGGATGGGTGGTGGCCGAAGACGGGGACCCTGGCGGCCTGATCCTCAGCTAAAGAAGCTGGCTATTGGGACGTGGAATGTCACCTCTATGGTGGGGAAGGAGCCTGAGCTGGTGTGTGAGGTTGAGAGATCCCGGCTAGAAATAGTCAAACTCACCTCAACACATGGCTCTGGCTCTGGAACCAGTTTCTTTGAGAGGGGTTGGACACTCTTCCACTCTGGAGTTGCCCCTGGCGAGAGGCGCCGAGCAGGAGTGGGCATACTTGTTGCTCCCCATCTTGGTGCCTGTACGTTGGGGTACACCCTAGTGAACAAGAGGGTAGCCTCCCTCCGCCTACGTGTTGGGTGATGGGTTCTGACTATTGTTTGTGCTTATGCGCCAAACAGCAGTTCAGATTACCCACCATTTTTGGAGTCTTTGGTTGGGGTACAGGAGAGTGCACCTCCTGGGGACTCCCTTGTTCTACTGTGGGACTTCAACGCTCACATGGGTAATGACAGTGAGACCTGGAGGGGTGTGGTTGGGAGGAATGGCCCCCTCTGATCTGAACCCGAGTGGTGATCTGTTATTGGACTTCTGTGCTCGTCATGGATTGTCCATCAAGAACACTATGTTCAAGCATAAGGGCATGTGCTCTTGGCACCAGGACACCCTAGGCTGCAGTTCAATGATCGACTGTTGTCGTCTCATCTGATCTGCGGCCGCATGTCTTGGACACTCGGGTGAAGAGAGGAGCGGAACTGTCCACTGACCACTACCTGGTGGTGAGTTGGCTCCAATAGTGGGGGAGGATGCCAGTCAGACCTGGCAGACCCAAACGTATTGTGAGGGTCTGCTGGGAACATCTGGCAGAGTCTCATGTGAGACGGAGCTTTAACTCCCACCTCTGGGAGAGCTTCAAACACGTTACAGGGGAGGCGGGAGACACTGAGTCCGAGTGGGCCATATTCCGCGCCTCTATTGTTGAGGCGGCTTATCGGAGCTGTGGCCACAAGGTTGTCGTGCCTGTCACGGCGGTAACTCTCGAACCCGGTGGTGGACACTGGCGGTGAGGGATGCTGTCAAGCTGAAGAAGGAGTCCTATCAGGCCAATTTGGCCTGTGGGACCCCGGAAGCAGCTGATGGGTACTGGCAGTCCAAGCGGCATGTGGCTCGGGTGGTTGCTGAGGCAAAAACACAGGCGTGGGAGGAGTTTGGAGAGGCCATGGAGAATGACTTCCATACGGCTTTGAGGCGATTCTGGTTCACCATCCAGTGTCTCAGGAAGGAAAGCGGTATGCCACCAACACTATTTATAGTGGAGGTGGTGTGCTGCTGACCTGAACTCGGGATGTTGTGGGTTGGTTGGCAGAATACTTCGAAGACCTCCTCAATCCCACTGGCACATCTTCCACTGAGGAAGCAGAGCCTGGGGACCTTAAGTCGGGCTCTCCAATCTCTGGTGCCGAGGTCGCCAAGGTGGTTAAAAAGCTCCTCGGTGGCAGGGTCCCAGGGGTGGATGAGATTTGGCCGGAGTTCCTTAAGACTTAAGATGTTGTGGGGTTGTGTTGGCTTACACGACTCTGCAATATTGCGTGGACATCAGGGGGCAGTCCCCCTGGATTAGTAGACTGGGGTGGTGGTCCCACTATTCAAAAAGGGGGACCGTAGAGTGTGCTCCAACTACAGGGGGATCACGCTCTTAAGCCTCCCTGGTAAGGTCTATTCGGGGATTCTGGAGAGGAGGGTCCATCGGATAGTCTAACCTCAGATTCAGGAGGAGCAGTGCAGTTTTTGTCCTGGTCGTGGAACACTGGACCAGCTCTACATCCTCAGCAGTGTCCTGGGGGGTGCGTCGGAGTTTGCCCAACCAGTCTACTTGTGCTTTGTGGACTTTGAGAAGGCGTTCGACCGGGTCCCTTGGGGAGTCCTGTGCGGGGTACTCCGGGAGTATGGGGTACCAGGCCCTTTGATACGGGCTGTTAGGTCCCTGTACGACTAGTGTCAGAGCTTGGTCCGCATTGCCGGCAGTAAGTCAGGCTTGTTCCCAGTGAGACTTGGACTCCGCCAAGGTTGCCCTTTGTCACAGATTCTGTTCATAACTTTTATGGACAGAATTTCTAGGCACAGCCAAGATGTTGAGGGGATCCGTTTTGGTGGCCTTATGATCGCTTCTCTGATTTTTGCAGATGATGTAGTCCTATTGGCTTCATTAGTTCGTGATCTAAAGTTTTCGCTTTAGCGGTTTGCAGCCAAGTGTGATGCGGCCGGGATGAGGATCAGTTCCTCCAAATCCGAGGCCATGGTCTTGAGACGTAAAAGGGTAGAGTGCCGTCTCCGGGTCGGGGAGGAGGTTCTGCCCCAAGTGGAAGAGTTTTAAGTATCTCAGGGTCTTGTTCACGAATGAGGGAAAAATGGAGCATGAGATCCATAGGCAGATAGGTGCAGCGTCGGCAGTGAACCGGGCGCTTTACCGGTCTGTCGTGGTGAAGGGAGAGCTGAGTCAAAAGGTGAAGCTCTCAATTTACCGGTCAGTCTACTTTCCTACCCTCATCTATGGTCATGAGCTTTGGGTTGTGACTGAAAGAACGATATCAGATACAAGCGGCCGAAATGAGTTTTCTCTGCAGGATGTCTGGGCTCTCCCTCAGAAATGAGGTGAGAAGCTCAGTCATCCAGGAGGGACTCAGAGTAGAGACGCTGCTTCTTCACATCGAGAGGAGCCAGTTGAGGTGGCTCGGGCATCTGGTTAGGATGCCTCCTGGATGCCTCCCTGGTGAGGTGTTCTGGGCATGTCCCACTGGGAGGAGACCCAGAGGAAGACCCAGGACATGCTAGAGGGACTATGTTTCTCGGCTGGCCTGGGAACACCTTGGGATTCCCCTGGAGGAGCTGGCCGAAGTGGCTGGGGAGAGGGAAGTCTGGGCCTCCCTACTTAGGCTGCTACCCCCACGACCCGACCCCAGATAAGCAGAAGAGAATGGATGGATAGAAGTTTATAGAAATTAATGTGCACACACAGATACACAAACAGAAGCATTGCTTCTTTTTTGCCTTTAGAGTGGGTGATAACCACTTTGAAGAGTGTTTTAATCCCATTAAATTTATTAAGATGTGGTAAATGTATAATGTAATTTGTAAATGCTGTAACACTTGTTTAAAACTACACAATTTCCCTGTTGTTAACCAATATATATATTTTTTTTTCAAGTTACAAAAACACTTTTAGTTGTCCTTTTTGGTCTATAGTACACATAATGAACAAAATGTTTGTATGATGGAGAAAAAAAATCTGAGATATATTCCTGTCGAGATTAAAATCTTCCATCAAAACTTGCAAAATTAAAAACAATCTGTCATTGCAGACCTAAAGTAGAAGAGACCATCGTGTGTCTACCATTCAAGCGAAATGTTTCCACTTGATCTCACAGTCAGATTTTGGACAGGAAAGTGAGATTATGCATGGAAAACCATGGGAGCGCCTTTTGTTTAGGGTTTCAGTGACCACAGCTGAAGCAGCCACAGGCAGCCCAGATGAGAGGCAGAGTAATTGAAAGCAGCTCTGCATGAGGACAGCATGACATCAGTCGAGACCGCAGCGCTAAATAAGAGAATTTTTGAAGAGTGTTACTGGAACAGTCCAAAAATAGGATCTTTCCTTGTTGGTGTTGAGACTGAAATGTCCAAATGTGTCTCCCAGAATCAATATTTATATATAAAGGTGACACATTTAGCACCTGTTAATTTACTTGTCTTTTTTTTCCTTAAAATATTTTTTTTCTTAAATCATTTGTTTTTTTTACTCTTTCTGTGTTCAGGCCTCCCTCATCCATTTGCCATCACAGTGTTTGAGGACAGCCTCTACTGGACGGACTGGCATACCAAGAGCATAAACAGCGCCAACAAATTCACCGGCAAGAACCAGGAGGTGATCCGGAATAAACTGCACTTCCCCATGGACATCCACACCCTGCACCCCCAGAGACAGCCTGCAGGTCGGTGCACAGCTGGAGAACAAGCACAGTGCTTCCTGTTTGCACTGGTTTCTGTTCCTCTGGAGTGAATGGTTCTGCTGTTAGCAGCAACACTCCAGACTGGCCGAGTCTCACGGAGTCTGTTTATTTCTGCTGCCCAGTCAAAGACTGGTTTTGAAATGGTTTGAGTTATTGGTTAAATACATGGGTCCTTTCATCCATCCATCCTCTCTTCTGCCTTTCATCCATTCATCCTCTTTTCCTCCTTTCTTTTCATCCATCCATTCATCACTTCCTCCTTTCCTTTCATCCATCCATCCTTTATTCCTCCTCTCATTTAATCCATTCATCCTCTCTTCCTCATTTCCTTTCATCATCCATCCTCTCATCCTTCTTTCCTTTCATCCATCCATCCTTTCTTCCTCCCTCATTTCCTTTCATCCATCCATCCTCTATTCCTCCTTTCATTTAATCCATCCATCCCTTACTCCTTTCCTTTCATCCATGCATTAATTTACTTTCTTTATATTTGTCCTTTCATCCTTTTTCTCCCTTTCATTTCTTCCTTCCTTCCTTTCTTGTCATCAGTCTTTTTGCAGAGAGACAGCAGCGTCAGTAACTCTTCTATGCTGCTCATTTCGCACGTCCCATTTTTCTGTGCATGTTTTAAAAACTGGTCTGACGTTGTTTTCGTTGCCTCCTTGGTCTGCATCAGACCTGCCACAGCTCGGCGGTCAGTTTGGTAGCCGGGGTGCTCAGTTCTGTTGACGGGGTGGGGCACCCCGCTTGTATAATGGTAGGGGAAACACTGGAATCTATGCAAGCATCAAAAATACACCTCTGGCTTTTAAGAATCACAAAAACTAAACTGGAAAGGGGGTTGAGACATTTGTGACAATTCTGCAACTATTTAACAAAAAATTGTCGCAACATTTTTTGAATGTTCAAAATTCAGGTCTATTAATTAAACATGGACATGTGTGGCAGCTACAGAAACATCAGAATCTTGGCCAAAAGCTCATGAAAATGTTTATGATCACCAAATGCAGTTGAAACTACAAACGGTTAAATCAGCAAATAAACAAATTGTGCAAAATGATTCAAACATAAAACTGAATCTCAGCTGTTCACCTTACAAAATAAACGACTGAAATCAGGAATCTCAGAAAAGTGTTTTCACCTTCCGTCTTCATTTTCTGTGAAACAATAGAATCTGCTGTGATTCTTACACTTTTAATCAAATCTCATGTGTGTTAGCTTTATTTTGACACCAACAGGTTTTAAATAGAGTTTGCAAAAGCTGAGAAAAGCTCATTAATTTGTGTCAGGGTGCAGTCCTTTTTAACATTTTCATAATTGTCATAGCAGCAGATAAGCATCTAATATTTTTCAACTATAGCTGTTATGAAACTTTATGGATGTTGAAGAGCATTTTTACTCTTACTGTGTCAGAGGAGTGAAAACTGGCCTCAGTCAGTGGCTAATTCACAGATGAAAGAGTGATTTGTGTCTCTGGTGTCAGACCCTGTGGTGAACTGGCCAGTGGAGCAGTGACAGCAAAGTCTTGTGTTCTCTGATAACAAACTCTGTTTGAGTTGACATACGACCAAGAGAAACTTTTGGTTTTCATACTGCTGAACAATATTGTAACAGCCTGACACTAGAGTGAACTGTGAGCCGCCTCGGTGCTGCCAGCGGGAGTTCAGGGAGATCCGTTTGTTTCAGCAGAGGTTCTGTCAGTCGTGTGAGCTCACGTCTGTGGAAAAGGCTGAACAAGACAGAAACACTTTGGTTCTGTTAATCTATGAGGAGATGTCACGGAAGTGTACTGACTACAGGAACGTTTTTCAACCTGAAGGCATGGACTCACTCCTAACATCATACGACTCAGATCCACTATCCAAGGCCAAAGAGCGGGACACATCCTCCTAAAGACACTAAACAAGCTTTCTCATGACAAAAGCCAACATTAAACTAAGGAGCAGGTCTCAGGTTTCATCTATCCAACACATGAGCATTTAATCCTGAGCCAGATTCACACCAGTTTGCACCTTCGTGCATCCAAACCGTCTCATGTGGACCAGACCAACACAGACCTTTATGACCTTTAGAGTGATTTTAATATGAGCTTAGCTGCAGGTTTGAAACTTGGCACTTTTCAAACAGAATTAAGATAACTCTTCAGATGAGAAGCAAATGCCTTAAAACAACAACAAAACAAGCTCAGTTGCCTGAAAATGATAAAATTCATAGTTTTGCTATATGACTGAGAATCTTCACCCAAATACATATTCTGTTATTTTGCAGCGTAGGATAATGTCAATGTCAAATTCTGGTATAAAAGATGGTGAGTGATATGCATTTCTATAAAGTAGGCTATGCCTTTGTTTTAAAAGGAACCTTATATTGTGGGGCTATTCAACTGGTGGCCCGGGGGCCGAAGCAGGCCCACAGGTGAGTTCATTTTTAAATACAACTAGATTTTAAACCCAACATTTTTCAGTCAGGTCATCTGGACAGTTTCTTATTTGTGCTGAAACGTTTCGCCTTCGATGCAGTCTTGTCAAACTGGTTTCTTGTCAAACTGGTTGTTGTTTTCAACCAGTTTGACAAGACTGTCAACAAGGAAGAGGGCCGGCAATGGAGGAGGGGCGTACCAAAGAGACCATCTAATCACAAGCAGAACTGGTTTGTTCCACTTTGGAGTAAGCTGTTGGGGGAAGAATCAGTTTTGTTGTGTGTTTCCTTGACTGATGAAGCCTTCTGGATTGAAGGCGAAACGTTTCAGCACAAAAAAAGAAACTGTCCAGATGACCTGACTGGAAAATGTTGGATTTTATACCTGGATTATTGAGCATGGACTTTGTTGTAGATTTTAAACCGTTAAACAAATTTACTTAATGACAATAATTGCTGGATGTCCGGCCCCTGAGCCTCTTGGCTTTCAGTAACTGTGCCCCCCTGAGCAATTTAGTTGAATAGCCCTGTTGTATGTTGTTGTTTTTTTAAACACCAAGAACTCAAATACATTAAACCTATAATGGAAATAAGCGTTCCCTGTTTACTGTCTGTTAGGGTTAGGCGTTGTCTGAATTTGAACGGTTCCGATTTCTCATTTCGATTCTTTTTAGAGGCAGGGTTCAAAGAAGTTTGCATGGTTTAAATAAACTCGCTAACCAGAGTTCTTTCTGGATGACATAGTTTGAAATTCAATTCTTTGAACGTTTTACTTTTTATCAACTTTACTATGAATTTCTCACTTGACTATTTTCAACCAGTATATAAATATCAAACTTATGAACTTGTCATTTGTCTATGAAAAATTACATGAGGTAACGTTAGCATGGTATTTGCATTTGAGATGTCCCACCACTATTTGTTAGCTTCCTTAATAAATATTTTATATTGGACCTATTTTATTGTTTTACTTCATTCTGACTGCAGCGGGTGATAGATAAGATAAAACTTTATTGTCTACCACAACTGTGGCATAAATTCTCCTTTGACACGCTCTACATTCATCATACATACACAAGAACCAAGAGTAGAACATCATAAAAACCATAGGCTGAGTGTTGGAGCCGGAGGAGGTAGTGGAGGTTGACTGGCACAGCACGTCAAAGACGAGGCACTCTGTTACTTCTACACCATGAAGCCAGAGGTGTTTAATCATCTTGGTCGTGCACCCTCCTTTGCACAATATAATCTTATTACAAGTGTTGCACTGAGCTGACTGGTCATTTCTTATATTAAAGTTAAGCCACACTTTAGATCACCACTGCACACCGTCCATGGTTGCGCACACACTGTCTGTTCATTCTTCTTCGTTGGTGTTCGGCGACTTCTTCCTGTCAGTGGACTAGGTATCGAAAAATTAGCACTATGCTGTGAGAATCAGAGTGTTAGTCAGGGTTCCAATCGATTCTCGAGACTTGATGTCCAACCCTCCTGTCTGGACTGTACTTCTTTAGTTAACCTTTTTGGGGATTTTTTTTTTTTTTTTTAACAGACATCAAAATGACACAAAAAATGACGGGGAAATTTCTATGTCTCACTTTGGAAAAGTCTGCACGTTTAAAACAGGAAATGTACTGTACCTTCCGCCTTAAAAGTCACACCGCCAAATAAGTCGCAACAGTCCAATAATGGCTAATAAAGTGGAAAAAGCATAAATACGTTGCTTAGCCTTATAAGTCGCACCTATTATGCATCACTGCCGACCACCCGGAAACGCGGGTTGTGCCAAAAATCGATTGGCTGCCAAATGGCGGCCGCTGGAGCATGCATGGGAGGTCTTTAACAAGAATTTAACAAGATTAACACTTAAAAACAATTGTTTGTTTGCTCGACATTATAGTAAAGGTGCGTCTCAGTTGAACTTTTCCTTAATAAACGCACTTTAATGGTCATACCAGTTGCATTTTGCCTGAGCAGCTCAGCAAAACGAAGCTCCAGGAGTTCCGGAGTGAGACGAAAGTGGCTTGGTATGGCAAGCCAAGTGTCTCATTAATGATCACTTTTACCTGCTAATGAGACACTTGGCTTGACTTGGAAGACCCTCTAACGGCTGAAGATGGTAGTGTTTAATATTTTTCACGTCAGAATGAATGAAATCATCAGATCTCAGCCAAAAACTGGTTTATAAATACTTTGTATGTGAAAAAACGTAAATCAGTCGCTTTGGACTATAAATTGTAGGACTTGCTATTTAATGCAAAATGATGCAACTTATAGTCTGAAAAGTACGATATATAAAACATTTTAATAAGACGTTTTACAAAATATATAATATTTTTGCCTTTTTTTGTTGTTGTTGCCAATGTCTACACAAGAAAATTACCAGTAATTTGCATTAGACAAGATTACACAAGTGGGGAGGTAGATAATTTGCATGAGAAGCCATGCAACATTGGTCATGGTCAAACAACAACAAGAAGCGTTCCTAATGATGAAACCGCTGCAAACTGAGTGTCTGACTGTTTATTGTAGGTGGCAGAAACCGCTGTGGCACCAACAATGGAGGCTGCAGCCACCTGTGTCTTCCCAGCAACAAAACCTACACCTGCACCTGTCCCACTGGCTTCAAGAAGGTGGATCACTACAGCTGTGCCAAGAGTGAGTTCCTTAACTATTCATTTTTATATGATATTATCAAAAGGATGATTATTTTATCCTTTATATTTAAAAAAAAATCAACATATTTTATATTATTCATTAAATATTCTAACCATTTAAAGGGATAACTGAACCCTAACTTTACCTGAAACCATGTGTCCTGCTAACTGGTTAAATATTAAATTATAAACTTATCTTTTTTCCTCTTCATGTCTTTGACCTCCTCTGACGTTTGTCTGTGAAGCTTGACTCGTAAAATGCCCCAAGTTTAGAAACTACATTGAAAATGTTAATCCTGCGACACACACTTAATCGGATCAGCCTGTGAGTTGAGGTGTAAGCTGTTGAAGCGAATATTAAAATAATAAACATCTACATAGAAAATTAGAAATTTGCTCAAAGTAAAATGTGATTTTTAACTAAAGAAAACTTTAAAATTAAAGATTTTACCGTGACTTGTTTGGTTACCATGTCCTGAAATATATGATACAAGTTTTCAATTATTGCTTTTTTTTTCATTACGTCGTTGCTCAACTCAAATAAGAGTCATCTGAGTCTTCCCCTCCCTTTGGTTTTAAAAACATCTTTATTATGTTCTTATTCCTCTTTGAAATGTATGTGAGATTTATGGCATTAATCAGCGTGTTTGACTGAATGTTCCCTCTAAGGGCTGCTTGATGTTTTTGTGGTGGTGCTGTTCTGCTTTGTTCACTGTTGACTCCACTGTTAAACCTAGAAGACTGACAGAAGACCTTTGGTCTTTAATCAGGTCTTGACAAGTTCCTGCTTTTTGCCCGAAGGACGGACATCCGACGAATCAGCTTTGATACCGAGGACATGTCCGATGATGTCATCCCTCTGGCTGATGTGCGCAACGCTGTGGCGCTGGACTGGCACGACAAAGATGGCTACATTTACTGGACGGACGTCACAACCGACTCCATTAACAGAGCACTGTGGAACGGCACCAAGCAGGAGGTCAGTGATATCTAAGGTCTAAACTCTGCACTGCTTCTCATCCTTTTCAAGGAAAGCAGCTGAAAACAGCTGTTAGTTTATGCTATATCACCCTCTGCTGGGACTCACTGCAAATTGCTACTTCAAATTCATGTACCTTAGGTAAAGATTTTTCAAAAAGCTTAATATGTATATTATGTAGAAAATGGTCTGAGTGTTGTTAAACTGTAAATGTTGAAATATGTCACCAACATCTTTTTTTGTTTGTTGTTTAGGTGGTGGTGGATACCAGTTTGGAGAGCCCAGCAGGACTGGCAATTGACTGGGTGACCAATAAACTTTATTGGACCGATGCAGGTAAACGATCCCATTTCCTAAATTCTTAATTCAATTCAATTCAGTTTATTTATATATTGCCAAGTCACAACAGAAGTACTCTCGGGGCACTGAACAGAAACATTCATACATACCCCATTAGTAAAAGTTCTCTATCTAAGGAAGGAAGCCAGCATTGAGTCGAGTCTTCACTTCGTCACAGTCTCCCATCCTGAGCAAGCACAAAGGCGACAGTGGAAAGGAAAAACTCCCTCATAACAGGGAGAAACCTCCAGCAGAACCAGTCATCTGCTTTGACTGGCTGGGTTTGAGAAGACAGGAAGGAGAAACAAACGAACGTAGAATGGCAGGTCCAGATGTACTTTCTATAGGAGGAAAGACAAAAAAACATGTTAAGATAGAAATAATTACAAGTACAAAACAGGTAGAAGTACAAAACAAGTAGAGCAAGTAAATGCAGCAGCAGAAAGAGGAAATGTGGTAAATTTGCCTTCCAGTGTCTAAGCATGTAGTAGCATAACAGGGATAGCTCAGGAAACCCAAGCCAACCCTAACTATAGGATTTATCAAAAAGGAAAGTTTTAAAACTGGACAATGTGTCAGCCTCACGGACAGAAACTGGAAGTTGGTTCCACAAGAGAGGAGCCTGATAACTGAACTGCTTCATAACGGCTTTAGGAAACTCTAGGAACCACAAGTAAACCTGCAGTCTGAGAGCAAAATGTTCTGTTAGGAAAAAAATGTAACAATTCGATCTGTAATATAAGATGGAGCTAGGTTGTTGAGAGCTTTGTAGGTTAGAAGTAGGATTTTTTAATTCTATTCTGGATTTGACAGGGAACCAATGGAGAGAAACTAAAACTGTAGAGATATGATCTCTCCTACTAACTCTCGTTAAAACTCTGGCAGCACCAGTCATGTATCTTCTACCGTATTCATTATGCACAGCCACCTGCATGAAACGTGTTCTCAGATTGTTTTGGGTATCAGGTACAGATCGAATCGAAGTTTCAAATGCTGACGGGAGCATGCGGACCGTTCTGATTTGGGAGAACTTGGATCGACCCAGGGACATTGTAGTTGATCCAACTGGAGGGTAAGAGATCTAAGAAGGTTTAGAAGTTTTAAGACACCCACAAGACACTACATAAACATTTTATATGTTGTTCTGTCTCTATAGTTTTATGTACTGGACTGACTGGGGTGCCAATCCAAAGATCGAGCGTGCAGGGATGGATGCCTCTAATCGCATTGTCATCATTTCATCCAATCTGACATGGCCCAATGGACTCGCCATCGACTACGAGACCAAACGTCTGTACTGGGCTGATGCAGGCATGAAGACTATAGAATATGGCAACTTTGATGGTTCAGACAGACAGGTAACATGTTTTATTCTCACAAAGCTGGTGTTTTATGTTAAATAAAATGAAAAAATCATCACTTATATCAGGTGTTACCATTTTTAGGAATGCTTTGAGCTTTGTATTACTTTTCAAACGCCCGCTGAAAGGCGGACGTGCTATGGTATAGTCTTCGTCCCTCAGTCCATTCTTACAATCGTAAACTTTCTTGTCCAGCCGATAACTTCTGATCTGCTCAAGATAATTTATATCAATGTTATCCATAATGCATCATCACTAGACAAAATGTCTTGTATACCTTCCATCACCCCAGTTCCAAGGTCAAGGCCACAAATCAAGGTCAAAGTTACAAGACCTTTACTTGTTAAAGCCATTGCTATAGATTACTGTATAATAGTTTGTTGACAGATGTATATTATGTCGTATGTTGTACTCGTGTTATCAATTAGGTTTTGATTGGCAGCCAGCTGCCTCACCCTTTTGGACTCACTGTACATGAAGACAAGCTGTACTGGACAGACTGGTTGTCCAAGAGCATCCATAGTGCCGACAAGCTCACGGGTTTGGAACACCACACGCTGGCCGAAAACTTGGAGAATCTCATGGACATTCATATGTTCCATCAGCACCGCGAGACAGGTTTGTATCAGCATTTTACTTCACATTTGGTGCAGTCAGCGTATGAACCGTTTTGTCTCTGCAGAGTTTAAGAGCTCATGACTCGGGTGCATTCTGTGACTTCATTTAAAAATAAATAAATTAATCCAATATTCATGTTGATACTACTTGTAGTTAAGCACAGATGTTTAGCCGAGAGGGTTAATTGGTACAAACTTAAACGTTGTCGTTTATGATTGATGTTGGAGGGTATTTTGTATTCCCTTAGGAGTTTTTCTGTTTGTTGAATTGTTTGCTCGTTTGTTTCTCCCCTACCTTCCCTTTTCTTTTCCACTGAGTATACATTTGGATTAGGTCAGTGGGTGTTCTGAGTCTGTGTGTGTTTCAACAGTGCACAACCCGTGTTCAGTCAGTAATGGAGGCTGTAGTCACCTCTGTCTCCTGGCTCCTGCTCCCATGGCTTCTAGCTGTTCCTGTCCCACTGGGATCAACCTGCAGAGCGATGGAAAGACCTGCACTCCTGGTACAGAAACACCTCCGGTGTCATCCTAGTAGCGTTGAAATAAAAGCTGAAAATGTTGACTGAAAACGACTTTTCATAAATCTGATCAGAAATGTATCCAACTGATGTTTTTCCTGGATTATTGAGCACATGCATCAAGATGTATCAAACTGATCTCCAAGATTTGTATTTTTATCAGACATTAATAATCCATGCACATTTCTATATTTAATCTCCAACAGATATTAAAAGAGAAAACAACAAAAACAAAACAAACAAAAAAACAGGAGAAGCATTAAAATAATTAAAAACATTTGGAATTATGGTATAAAAAAAAAAGTAGACACAATTATTCATCTGTGTGTCTGCAGGGATGAGCAGCTTCCTTATCTTCGCTCGGAGGACAGACATCAGGATGGTATCTTTGGATATTCCTTACTTCGCCGATGTGGTTCTAGCCGTCAATAGCTCAATGAAAAACACTATTGCGATCGGCGTCGACCCCAAAGAAGGTTTCTGCATATTTTCAAAAATGTCAATTATCTAAGGGTCAAGTAAAAAATAAAAAAAATAATAAAGATGGAGCCCTTACAAGTATATGTGTCCCGTCTTGCAGGAAAAGTCTACTGGTCTGACAGTACTCTAAAGAAAATCAGCAGAGCCAATATCAACGGATCAGCGCAGCAAGACCTCGTATCTACAGGTAGAGGACAGTGATCGTGTTACAGCAGCTGGTTCTGCTCTCTCCTGGTGTAACGACTCCAGCTTTGTGTCTCTCTGAAGGACTGATGACAACCGATGGGCTAGCGGTGGACGCTGTCGGCAGAAAGATCTACTGGACTGACACAGGAACTAACCGCATTGAAGTGGCCAACCTGGATGGTTCGATGAGGAAAGTTCTTATCTGGCAAAACCTGGACAGCCCACGAGCGATTGCCCTCTACCATGAGATGGGGTGAGGAGCTGCTGAAGTGTTCTGTATTTGTTGCCATTTATCTCTGATAGTGTTTTGATCTTATAATTTCAACTTAACAGTCTTTCAGTCTTCTTGTGTTTATGATGCGTTGGTTGTTATTTGTTTAGTTATATGTACTGGACAGACTGGGGCGAGCATGCTAAGCTGGAGCGCTCGGCGATGGATGGATCAGACCGTGTGGTCCTGATTAGTAACAACCTGGGCTGGCCTAATGGTTTGGCTATTGACACGGCAGGATCACAGCTGCTGTGGGCCGATGCTCACACAGAGGTGAGTAATAACTGCACTGGAACAGAACCATCATAATCAGACAAAGATCCCCATCTGAGGATAAATAGCGTTGATGAATGGAAGTTTACGTTATGGCTACACTTAAAGCATTTTGCTTCTAATAGAAGGAACTTTTCTAAATGAGTCTAAAGAGACCGTTTTAATCACTTTCTTCACAGACTAAGACCTCGTCCACACAGGTTTTGTGAACACGCAGAAGCATTTTATTGTTTCAGCCTCGTCCACATTGCAGCAGCGTAGGAGCCTCTAAACTGGCTCCTGAAACTGGATTCCAGAGTGAAAATATCGAAACACAACCTTTTGTGTGGACAGCCTATTGATGCTATGATGTCATACCTTTGGCACAAACAACTGCATTAAGTGTCTCTTCTTTTGGCTTTTCCCTCTTCAGGGGTCTCCACAGCGAGTCCTCCTCTTCCATCTCCCTCTGTCCTCTCTCCAACTACCTCCTTGTCTCTAACTGCATCCATATATCTTCCTCTTTGTCTTTTTCCTGCCAGCTGCATTTCTAACATCCTTCTACCAGTATACCCACTGTCTCTCCTCTGGACATGTCCAAACCATCTCAGTCTGGTCTCTCTAACTTTATCTCCCAGTTGTTCAACCTGTGCTGTACCTCTGATGATCTCATTCCTAATCTTATCCATCCTTGTCACTCCTAAGGAGAACCTCAACATCTTCATTTCTGCCGCTTTCAGTTCTTCTCCAGTCTTTTTGTCCATGTCTCTGTCTCCAGACCATACAACATAGCTGGTCTCACCACTGTCTTGTAAACTTCTCCTTTGACCTTTGCTGACACCCTTTTGTCACAAATCACTCCTGAAACTTTTCTCCATCCACTCCATCCTGCCTGGACTCTCTTCTTCACCTCTTTACCACACTCCCCATTTTCCTGGACAGTGGACCCCAAGTTCTTGAAGTCCTGCACCTTTGTGAATAATGTAAAAACAAAAATATCAGCTGTCAGCAATACTAAACCGAATACTGCAGGAAGAAATTACAATATGCATCAATTACACATGTAAAGAATGTGGAAAGTTGAAATGGTTTTAAAAGACAGACACTTGCATACAAAATATTTACCTTGATGTGCTTTGAACATCACGAGGAAACCTTCCAGTTTCTCACTGTTATCTCTTATCTTTTATTATTAAAATGACTTGACTCCCAGTCATCTCTTCCAAACTGCACTTCTCTCCAACACTTATTTAATATTGACATTGTTTATTAAATATCCAGCCTACCTAGTGTGTGCAAGCTCTATTTGCATGCTCGTGGTCTTGTTTCTTGTTCCCGGTGTGTTTCTGTGGCAGCGTTGCAGTGCCACATGCAGGCCTGGCATAGTTACTACAGCATATTGGTGTGTGGATGAAAACGTTTCTAGGAATGGGGCCATGTTTACAAAAACATAAATAAAAACAACAACAAAAAATGTTTTTAGGGAAAAAAAAAAAAAACCTTTCCTGTGTTGACGAGGTCTATGTGTATTAGAAATGTTAGTTATATTAAAATATAAATCTTTTTGCAAATAAACTTACAGCTGAAACCTAGAAAGTGTTTGAGATGTTTCTAACAAAATGCAGCAGTCTTGATTTTCTCAAGTATAAATGTAGGATATGTAAATGTTAACTAATTCTAAATGTGTATTAGAAATCGGGTATCATCTGTCTCCCCTGCAGCGCATCGAAGCTTCTGACCTAAATGGACAGAATCGTCACACTCTGATCACTCCTGTCCAGCACCCGTACGGTTTAACCCTTTTGGGATCCCATATCTACTGGACTGACTGGCAGAGCCGCAGTATCCAGAGAGCGGACAAGAACTCCGGAGCCAACACCATCACAGTGCGAGCCAACCTGCCAGGCCTGATGGACATTCAAGCTGTGGACAGGGAGAAGGCGACGGGTAAGACTCAGGACAGGACGTTGCTTTTGTTTACCATTTTTAAAATGTAAACAATTGCTTATTAGTAAAGATTTGTTTCAAATGGTTGAGAGAAAGTTTTACAGCATGAAAATATGGACTTTCAAGTCTATTTAAGATGTTTTTGGGGGACTGTCTAGTAAAGTAGCCACCTATTATTATCCACCTGAAGAGGGTCTTGCTCTGCTATCAACTTTAATGCAGCCCAAACCACAATGTGTTTTATCAAAACGACTGGCTCAGCACCGTGATATGTGCTTTTACTTTTATTGGTGTTTCAAGTTACCATGGCAAAGTACCATCATTTGCAAACAAAGACGCCATTTTTCTCATTGAAAAACACCGACAGAACTCAACAGCCTCAAACTGCCACAGTGAGGTCACTTGACCTCAAGTGAAGAGGTCTCCCAACAACTGATTGACTTTTGGAGCCATTTTGACTCAAGATGGCTGCCACAGCTACCTCAGAAAACTCAAACTTCCTCATAACTCTGTTAGATATTGAGCTGAAATTTGGTATGGTCATAGCAGAGAGCGAGTTGTTATATCACATGTTTTGGCCTACAAGTTGTGTTTTTTTTTGCATAATTTGCATGCCCTGTGACTTATACGCTAAAGCTACATATTTATGGATTTTTTCCCATATTTATAAACCAATTTTGGGCTGAGACATGACTGTTTTCATTCATTCTGACTGAAAATGTTGAACAATACCATTTTCAGCCACTAGATGGCACTTGAGTAGTCTGGCATGCCACTGTGTCATTTAATAGGTAAAAGTGGCTATTAATAACACAATCGGCTTGCCATAGTCTTCCACCGTCGTCTGCCTGGAGCAACCGAATCATCTTCATTTTGCTGCTCCACCCCGGCGAAATGCAGCTGATTTGACCATCAAAGTGCATTTATCAATCAATCAACCTTTATTTATACAGGTAAATCCCATTGAGCCTCGAGGACTCATTTACAAGAGAGACCTGATTTCAACAAAGAATGATGACAACAATGGACAACAGCAACAACAATAAGCAATTATAAAAACTCATACTACAGTTTTTTTTTTTTTTTTTTTTAACAAATAGGATGGCTAAAAGGAAAAAGGTAACAAAACCAAAAAAACAGCTAGATTCCAAGACAAATGTATAAAACTAAAAACAGGAACATGTCAGCATTGGACCCTGCCAGGAGTCCAACAGATTCTTAAAGCCACTTAGAGAGGTCAAGGTCGAGAGCTTCAAATCTTTTTGTAAGATATTCCAGGAAACAGGAGCGGAGTAGGAGAAGGCCCTTTTGCCTAGTTCAGTCCTCACTGAGGGAACACTGCAGGTAATAATGTCCTGAGAGCGCACTCCGTAGCTGCACTCACGCAGAGACATGTAGGAGGAGATGTATGAAGGCAGCAGACCAAGAAGTGATTTAAAGATGAAAATGTACCAGTGAGAGAGTCTGCGTGAAGTTAATGATGTCCAGTTAACCAGTGAATACAGGGTGCAGTGGTGGGTACGATAATCACAGCCAGTTATGAATCTTAGTGCACCATGATAGACAGCATCCAACATCTGCAGGGTTCTTGTAGGAGCGTTCATGTAAATAATATCACCAAAATCAATTGAGGGAAGGAAAGTCACAGATACAAGGCGTTTTCTAGCATTCAGGGTTAGACAGGATCTGTTTCTGAAAAAGAAACCCAGTTTAATTTTCAGTTTCTTTACCAAGTTTTCCACATGAAGCTTAAAAGAAAGATGTGAGTCGACCAAGATACCCAAATATTTATAGGAATCAACAAACTCAATGGGGACACCATTTGAGGATAAAATCGGAGGAAGAACTGCTGGGACCAACTTCCTATTTGAAAAAAGCATCCCTTTGGTTTTTTCGGCATTTAGGACAAGTTTGAGGTGAAACAAATCAGTCTGGATGTAGTTAAATGCAGATTTCAGAAGCTGGAAAGCCTTAGCAACAGTTTTAGCTCGACAATAAACAACTGTGTCATCAGCATAGAAATGTATGGATGCATTAGGGATGTTTTTACCTACATTATGTATGTAGATTGTAAAGAGGGTGGGTCCTAAGACTGAGCCTTGTGGTACACCATTGTTGACTGTTAAATAACTGGAGGAAGTACCATTATGTTGAACACATTGCCTCCGGTCTGAAAGATAGTTAGAGAACCAACCAATGGTGTGATCTGAGAAACCGATTTCTGAGAGTTTATGACACAAGATGTTATGATCCACAGTGTCAAAAGCTTTAGACAGGTCTAAGAAAAGTGCAGCACAATAATCTTTAGCATCCAGTGCTTCAACAACGTCGTTAAGAACCTTCAGTGAAGCAGTGGTTGTGCTGTGTTGTTTCCTGAAACCAGATTGATGTGGAGGTAAGATGTTAAATGAGTCCAGGTAATTTTTGATTTGAGAGTTTATCAGTTTTTCTAGAACCTTGGCTAAAATGCAGAGTTTAGAGATTGGTCGATAGTTGTTCAGTGAGGTGGGGTCACCTCCCTTCAGCAAAGGAAGAACAAAGGCTGTTTTCCAAGTGTCTGGGATGGAGTTTTGTCTTATGGAGAGATTGAAGATGTGGGTCACAGGGACTGTGATGATATGAGCAGCCATTTATTAAGTAAAAGTTCAACTGAGACACACATTTACTATAATTTCAAGCAAACAAATAATTATTTGTAGATGTTAATCTTGTTAAATTGCGAAGAAATGCACAGAGGCTCGTCCCTCTGCGTGTTCCTACTTCCGCGAATCAGGTTTTGAAATGCAGCTGATTTGACCATCAAAGTGCATTTATTAAGCAAACGTTAGACTGAGACACACCTTTACTATAATTTCAAGCAAACAAATAGTTGTTTTTAGGTGTTAATCTAATTAAATTCTTGTTAAAGTCCTCCCGTGCACACTCCCGCGACCGCCATTTGGCAGCCCATTGATTTTTGGCATAACACTGGTCCACATTTCTGGGTTCTTAGCGGTGACACGTAACAAACGTGACGTACACGGCGAAGCGACATATTTATGGATTTTTCCACTAGACATATTTGGAGTGATGCGACTAATCGGGCGGTGCAACGTGTACGACTGAAAATATGGTACATTTGGTCGGCTGTGGCTGAGTGGTTAGAGCAGTAATCCTCCAGTGGGAGAGTTGGGGGTTCGATTTCACCAGCAGTCACATGTTGAAGTGTCCCTGAGCAAGACACTGAACTCCTCAATGCCTCCGATGTGTGTCCCATCAGTGTATGAATGTGATAAAGCTCTGATTATTCTTTGTAGAGATCTAGTAGAGTGCTGTATGAATGGGTTATTGAGGCACAGATTGTGTTGTAAAGAGCTTTGAGTGTTTTGATAAGATAGAAAGGAGATATATAAATACAGTCCATTTAATTTCCTAATGCAAATTAAAAATTGAATATGGCTGCCTTGGCTAAAAGGGAAAAAATATGATAACTCAGCTATTTTAAAGCTGAAATTTGGTGTGGTAGTACCTGACAGCGATGCTCAACACATTCTGAATTCTGAAAATGCAAGATAGCCACCAAAGCAAATTTCAAACAGATATAACTCACAGTTTTTTAGAGCTTCAATCCCTAAAAGACTCTAATTGCAAATCAAAAATCCAAGATGGCCACCTGAGCTAAAAAGGAAAAATTCTATAAATCAGACATTTTTTTGAGATATTCAGCTGAAATTTGGTGTTGTGGTAGCTGAGTGGACCCCAACACTTGGTACTGTCAGATCAAAAATGTAAAATAGCCACAATGTGTCAGCCCCCATCAGTTTCTCCAGGAACTTTACTGTTTTATGATAGAAACCTACTTGTTTCCTTAAAAACACAATCTGTAAGCACTTCTTTGCATCAGCCGTTCGCATTGTTCCCTTTTTAGGTTTTAATAAATGCAGCAAAAGGAACGGAGGTTGCACTCACCTCTGCCTGCCTCGTCCCAACGGCACTTCCTGTGCGTGTCCCACTGGCATCCTGCTCAAGGGCGACGGCAGGTCGTGTGACGACTCCCCCGAGACCTACTTGCTCTTTTCAAATCGCGTCAGCGTACGCAGAATCTCCCTGGACACGAGCGACCACACTGACGTGCACGTACCCGTGCCTGAGCTGCACAACGTCATCTCGCTCGACTACGACAGCGTAGACGGAAAGCTTTACTACACGGATGTCACCCTGGATGTGATCAGGTGAGCCATGATCCAAGCATGTTTTAACTTTACTGTAGTTCTGATTACATTGTTGTTGTTTACCTGTTTTTATTGTCACGTAGAAGAATATTAAGATGAAGAAGATGTTTGGACAAAGGTGCACATTCTTAATACAGTTTCCATGTTGTGCTTTAGGCGGGCAAACCTGGATGGCAGTGACATGGAAACGGTAATCAGCCAGGGTTTGAAGACCACAGATGGTTTAGCTGTTGACTGGGTGTCCAGAAACATGTACTGGACCGATACTGGACGCAACACCATCGAGGTGGCTCGCCTGGATGGAACGAGCCGCAAAGTTCTGGTGAACAACAGTTTGGATGAACCTCGAGCCATCGCAGTGTTCCCAAGCAAAGGGTAAGAGTGAGGGAGCTAACCGAGCTCGTCCTACACCATCAAACATGTGCATTTAGAGAAACTAGCCGCTAGAAATGGAATATAATATTTAACGATCGGTGAAAATTAGAATTGTTCTTCAATGTGAACTTGCTGTTGTTTCTCCTTGTGTCTCTGTAATGTTGATGTGGTTGCAAAAAAAGACAAAAGAAATGAGCCTGATAAGATTTAGGTCATTTGTTTTCCTGCCAGTTTGAGTGGGACAAAACAATGAAGAGGCTTCTATTTATTTATTTTGAACAGACAATAAAAAGAAAAAAACAAACAAAAACAAAATAATAATAATAAGACAACTAGTCATGCCAGTTGACATGCAATTTTACACAATTTGTTAGAAAAGGAGCACGTAGAAGATAAAGTCTGTCATATACATCAATATCATTTTAGTCTCCAACACCAAATAAACCTTATGAGACTCGCACATTAAATAACGCTTAAACATCACATTCTCGTTGTTGAATGTTCAATTATTTACACATTATTAATATCAACAATAGCATTTTTGGTCTTTGAGACACCCATCCATGACAACATTTTCCAATAAGCTCATTTTTTATGCTTCTTTTTAAGCTGGTTTGTATTTGTACTTTGAGTTCATCATTGAATCCATTCCACAGATCTAGTGCACACACTGATATACAAAAATTATTTTTAGTTGTTCTGACATATTGTTTTGTTTTTTTTATTATTATTTCCTCCTTCTTTTAAATTATAACCCCCTTCTCTGTCACAAAACATTTTTTGGATATTGTGTTGAAGTTGACAGTTTCTTACTTTGAGCATAAATTGTATAGTTTTGAATTTTACAAGGTCCCAGAATTTCAGTACATTTGATTTTTAAAAAATTAATGGATTTGTATGTTCCCAATATCCCACTTTATGTAATATTCTGATTGTTTTTTGTTTTTGTTTTTTGGATTGTGTACAGCAGTTGTAAGTTTGTTTTGTATTTATTGCCCCAAACTTCCACACAACTCATATATGGTACAATGAGAGTATTCTATAAAATAGAGATTTGTAGTCCAGAACAAATCTTATTCTCCTGAAAGCAGCAAATCACGTTTAGATTTTACTGTATTAGTTGTAATGTATAATTTAAACCACTAGATGTCACTGTTGTCTCACACAATGGAAATACACTATGCTCAAAAAGAAGCAATAAGGGAAACATGAAGTAAAAGTTCTGTTTTTGGAGTTTATTGCAGCAACATAAAAGCTGCGAAGGCCTGTTGTAATCGTAGTGTTTATTTATTTTTTTAAATCTTTCTTTCATTCCTGTGTAACTACAGTTCTCATCAGTTCTGCCATATGTCTGCAGGTTTCTGTTCTGGACTGACTGGGGCCACATTGCAAAGATTGAACGTTCCCAACTGGATGGATCCGATCGTAAAGTTCTAATCAACATGGACCTGGGGTGGCCCAATGGCCTCACTTTAGACTACGACACACGAAGGTCAGAAGCAGAACTGCGTGGCTGCCTTTAACACAATCTGTGAATTTAATTAGACGTGATGAAAATATTATTCATCCAAGGTCCCTTAAAGGTCATCGTTAGAATAGATTTTTATTCATCTCTTTATTTTACACTTTATTTTACGCTCAAAATAATAGTTATTTTAAATAATTTTACAAATGGCTGTCAAACATTACGTTTAGAAAGAGTCCATTTAGGCTAGCATGTTGTGAAAAAGGAGGAAGACGGTTTAAAAATCAGAACATGTAAGATGTTTCCTTGGTCTCCTACTTATCCTACACCTCCCAGTTTAATAGTTTTGATATAAATCAATACATCTGTAAAGAGTGACCGTATGCGTGGGAATAAAGATAATCATAATAAAGATAAATCATCCCAGATATTGTTAATATGGGCAATTACTATTGTTAAGTGAGGCTCTTTCTAACATTCTGTTATTACACACATTTACTTTCTACACATCATTTTATAGTAAGATGTTAAAGTATGATTAAAGTATGACAATAATCTTGTGGAATTCTAGGAATGTATTATGCTATTGTTCTGAATTTTAGAAACCGTTATTATTTTATTGTGTGAATGTTTATGAAGCATTCACACTGTGATCCATTTTTCTTCCGTACGTGATTCAGCACGATTCTCATCCTGCAGTTTTCAAGCTATATCAACAAATCATAGATCAAAATGTTCAGCTCTTTCAGGACAATCCTGATTGGTATTGGTGCAACTTTAGCTTTTTGAAATATTTAGCCTTTTCTGACATTTTTTTCTCTCATCGGAAATGAATTGAGCTCATTTTACATCCTTCAAATCTTTAGATCTGTTTACCTTTTACTGCTCCTTTCACATTGTGTCCTGCTTCAGCTTCTTTCAACTTCCATGTGCATATTTAAACTTTTTTCAGCTATTTTCAGCAGTTCTTTAGCTGTTTTGTGCTCCCTTCAGATTCTTTCTGCTAACTACAACATTTATGCGCTTCTAAATTCTTTCTGCTAATTTCATCTTTTTATGCTCCTTTCAGCTTATTTCTGCAAGTTTCAGCTTTCTCTACTATTTCAGCTACTATATAGTATACTATATATTTATGCTATGGTAATTTAAGCTTTTTCAAATAATTCCACACTTTTTGCACTGATTTCAACTTTTTCCAGCCTAATTCAGCAAAAATATGCTCTCTCCACTTCCTTTTTGTAATTTCAGCTTCTTTCTGCCTTTTTTTAGCTACTTTTCAGCTGTTCTCTTTTTTTTTGCTAACTTCTGCTTTTTTTTAGATAATTGCCACTTTTTGTGTTCATTTCTGTTTCTTTCAGCAGATATATTCTTTCTGCTTTCTTCTGCTAATTTAAGCTTGTTCTATATTTTCAGCTAGCTTTTAAGACATTTTTAGCTACGTTTAGCTGTTGTCAGATAAATTTACGTTTTTCATGGTAATTTCTGCTACTTTCATCCTAATTAACGTCTTTCTGCTAATTTCAGCTTGTTATGCTTCTTTCAGCTTTTTTCTGCTAATTTCAGCTTTATCTGCTATTTCAGCTACTATTTAGTTGTTTTATGCAAATTTTCGATTTTCAACTAATTCCACATTTTTTAGCTCGTTTGAGCTCTTTCCACTTCTTTCTGGTAGGTTAAGTTTCTATCTGCCTATTCAGCTAGTTTTTGCTAACTTCAGCTTTTTTAGCTGATTTCCTCATTTTTGTCCTCATTTCTGCTTATTTAAACCTAATTCAGCAACATTTCAGCTACATTTCAGCTTGTTTTAGCCAATTTCAGCTGTTTTTCAGCAAGTTCTTCTTCAGTAAGCATTTACACTGCATTTTCGCAGGAAATGCAATTTCTTTAGTTCTGCAAGCATTTGATTAGTAGAGCTTTATTTAGACTTTAATAAAAATGTTTGAAAAGGAAGGAAGGATAAATAAACCTTTTGATGTAGGTCTGTCTTATCTGATCTCCCAGTTGCAGGCTAAGAGTTTGAACTTGTAGCCTGAGTTTAACTCTGCATCGAAGCTGTGTTCAACATTTCTACGAGTTCTTCTGAATCTTTGCTGTTCTCTGCAGGATCTTCTGGGTGGACGCCCACTTGGACAGGATTGAAAGTTCAGATCTGAATGGAAAGCTGCGTCAGGTCCTCATCAGTCCAGTGTCTCACCCCTTCGCCCTTACGCAGGTACTCGCCCCACTCCGCCTCACCCTCAGCTCAGCTGTGAGTCGCGGGGCCGACCTTCCCTCCTGGCTGCCTCCTCCACTCCCTGCTCTCTGACTCATCGGCTCATCGTGTGGTTCTCGTGGTTCTCCTTGTCTCTCCGTTCTCCAGCTCATGCTGAACCCATTCAACTTTCAACATTCAACCATTTCTTCGGCTTTCCTTCCACTCATTTTTCTTCCTCTTTTCCCTCCCTCCCTTTATTTCCTCTCACCCCCCACTCCTTGTCTGTGTTTTCTCCTCCTCTTCTTCTCCCTCGTTTCCCCAGTCGAAGCCGGTGTCCTCTCCTCTAACTCCTTTCTCCCGACTCTCGCAGCAAGATCGTTGGATCTACTGGACGGACTGGCAGACAAAGTCCATCCAACGAGTGGATAAACACACCGGCCGGAATAAGGAAACTGTGCTATCCAATGTGGAGGGGCTCATGGACATTATAGTGGTCTCTCCCCACCGGCAGACAGGTAAGATGGTTCTCCTGGAAACTCCTTGTGAAATGAGACCTCAGAGCCCTCTTTCTGTTTAAAGCAGTGGTACCCAACAGTGCTCCTTGAGGAACACCATCCTGGACGTTTTAGTTGTTTCCCTGCTTTGTGTAGTAGTACATATACGAGATATATGCATACAATTTTCACGAGTTCCTCATCTTTCTGACTGTGTAATGTCGTGCATTGAATTTTAACAGAAATGCGAACGAGAGACGTTATTATCTTTGACCCATCAAATGAATGCGGTCATTTATTTTCAGAATCAAAGTTAACATCAAACATTTACATTAATTTGGCAAAATATGAAAATAATAACAGACAAGTTTCACAAATAATGAGCTTCAATCACGCGGCGGTGATTGAGGACTTTGCTTCAGATATTTCTAAAATATCTGTACTGATTTTAAGAGAAAGCAGAGTTTAAGATGAAATGGAGATTTATCTTACAGAGAGATATGTGAGGGAATTAATCTGTTATGACCAGAACGTGCACGCTCCATCAGATATCAGCTGGCCTCCGGTACACTTAGTCGAAAATAGAACCTTCTACCTGGTTGAGATGGAATCAGCGTCGGAGTAGGTTCCTTTCTGACTCTTTCAGCGTCTCCGTGAGAACTGCCAAACCCTCAGAGAGTCGTACGTGGTGTTCAAACAGAAATTATAATCCCAAAACGTCTCTGGATCATCCTGAACGCGTCTGCATCCAAGAGCTCTAACTCCATCACTCTGTGCGCTCTCTAGTTGAACTCATTTCTGAGTACAGCAATACAGCAACCAACAAACTCCAGCAACTCAGCGTCTCAGCTTCTTGCAACTCCTTCAACTCCTTCAACTCCTGCATGAACTGGGAAGTTGCCACATTTTAAATGGGTCGACTTCCGGGTCATTTGAGAGCTTTTGATTGGTCTATGGACCAGGAAAAGGTGTGGTTTGTGATGTAAGATGTTATCATAAGTCAAGGATTGTTTTAGTGACAACAGAAAGATTATTGTAGGACTTCAGACTTCGTGGAGTCTCACACTTATTATCTTCTGAAAAAGTTTAAACATGACATTTTTCTCGGTAAACATTTTAGTTGACCGAAAACCGACCTTTAACATACTTACAAACTTGGCTCATTTCAGACAGAAAATCAAGAAATGCATATTAACCTGATTTCTTCTTTAAATGAGGAATAAAAATCATTACTTACTGTTTATGTAAAATAAAAATGAGTAGTTCTCTTCAACCTGTAAACATTGAGTGAACTAACACAATTTGATTATCAAACATTTGTAAAACAGTGATGATTATAAAAATTGTCTTTTCTGCTTGATTAATTCAAGAGAGAGAGTCACCAGATGGCTCAAACTGTATTCAGATCAATGAAATAACAGTCTCTGTCCATCTGATAGATTTGAGGTCATCAGGGTCAGATCAGGTTCACTACATTTGACACACCTGGTTTGAATGAACGGGTGATTAACAGACTTCTGCAGCACTTGAGGAGGTGTGTGTGTTGGAGCAGGGAAACCGCAAAACCATTCCGGGTGGTGTTCCTCAAGGACCAGGGTTGGGAACCACTGGTTTAAAGTACTGACTGATCAGTGAAGATTTTAGCTGCCATGGTGGTGACTTTCCTCTGAATAATTAAGTCTTTTTGCAGTATGAAAATGTATCTTTTCCAGTAACTGAATGTTAACAAACCAGACATTTTGTGGAACCTGTTGAATAAAATCTAATACCTGGAATTATTCTAACTCACTCTACTCACATTTCTCTTTAAGATCTTTAATTTGGAGTCTTTCGTGTCACAATGTTGAAACTTTGTGCCGACCAAAATAAAAATCCCACTTTATGAAATGAACCAAAATAAAGAAAAGAAGATGTTTTTCAGTTTCTGTCATTTCTCCTCTCATGTAGGCACCAACCATTGTGGGGCAAATAATGGACGTTGCACCCACCTCTGCTTTGCCAAGACCAACAGTTTTGTTTGCGCCTGCCCAGATGAACCAGATGGGCGACCCTGTTCCACAAGTAAGTGTTCTGTGTAATGCACTGACTGTAGCTCACTGAAGTTTGATGTTGCTAAAAACAACTTGTTTCTCACTGGGCTAGTTGTTGAGCAGTGTTTGTGAGAGAGTCTCAAATGAATTAAAACATTTGCGGGTTATGGGGGGGGGGGGGGGGGTTCAATTCCCTTGCCTCCAAGTAGGATAAATTAACGTAGTATAAATATTTCACAAATAGTAATATAAGCTTAAGTGCATATGATATATAATGCGCATAACAAACGGTTGTCAAAATGGACACAAAGTGGGCTGAGGCATGTACGAAGCGTCAATGTAAAGTTTCTAAAGTGTTCTGCTCAGATTGTGGCTGCATGCATCACTGGTCTCAAACAGCCAGAATTCAGTGAGACTGCAACTGAAATTTTGCTCATTCCTTTGCCATTTTTCATCACCAACTAATTTCCAACAAGAATAAATGTAAATGATGTGGCTCTGAGTTAAGGACTTGTGATTAGAGCAGAAACGGTGTCTAATATCTTCTACATAATAGAGTTAATGATCATTTATTCATCTATCAACCTAACGATGTTAAAAAACAAGTTATCGTTTGTCGACACAAATACAATATTATGTTTTCACAAACTCCATCTATATAATCAAACTCCTTCTGACTTGTAGGTTTAAAGTTGCCCTCTTGGTGCTGACGCCATAACGCTAGGAACATCTCAGTACTTGACCTGGAAGGTTTTGTGACTTTAATTCTGAGAACAAACAAACAGAACATCCTTTTGAGGATGCATAATTATGCTAAGAAGTACAAGTGTTGACACAGCAACTCTTTACATCAAAATACCGTGTTTTTCGGACTATAAGGCGCACCGGATTATAAGATGCAATATCAATGAACGGGTCTGTTTTCATATGTAAGGCACAGCGCATTATAAGGCGCATTAAGTGAAACAAAACATATAAGTCAAACTTTATTCAACTCATTCACTACAACTCTCAACATTGTTCAATTGTAACACGTAAAATACAAAACAATGCACATTTCTGAGCATGGTGTACCACATAAAATCGGTTCGAGGTCAGTCAGCACAACCAGAATTAATACATAAGGCTCACTTTCGATTTTTAAGCTAATTAAAAGCTTTTAAGTGCGCCTTATAGTCCGAATAATACGGTAAGTAGAAATAAAGAGTATGTTGGTGTCTAATTGGATTTTTTTCTTGCATGTGTTCATCAGTTTCAGGTTATGTCCCAACCTCTCCTGCCAAAGGTGCCAGCAGCACCCCTGCTCCTAAAAGGTTCCCCAAACCTCCAACAGACACTCCACACAGAGGACCCCCACTGGTCAAGTACGTCTGTCCATCTGATCATGGGCTTCTGTCTTACTGAGCAGTTTCATCGTTCTCTAAGCACGCTCAGCAATAGTAAAACTTGCATAGTTACATACATTCATGAAGGTGTAGAAAAGTCATTTTTTTACTAAATATGTTTAAAAACTGGATGTAAACTCCTCATGTTAAGGTTTATCGTATGTATTTTCATGTGTTGTCTTCTGATTTCCCCAGCTGCACTGACAAGAACCTAAATGCTGAAGGCTGCTTGAGCACAGTGGTGACAGCCCCTCACGGTCAGTACGCACCTCGGTTCTTTATGAGCGCTCATACGTGACAGATACACATTTACAATTTAACTCACTGTAGCTTGAAACAGATCTATTTTATCCATGTGCCTGAAATGCAGAGAGAGGCATCCAGGATGAGTTTATTCTACAGATGCTTTGAACAGCCGTTGGACTTCGTGTACCGTAATTTACGGATTATTGAGCACACCTGAATATAAGTTGCACCCACTAAAAAACATATAGGTTGCACTTGTTCATAAGCTGCAGCTGTCCACGTTGTAACTTAAGATATTTACACAGAAAGATTTTTTTTTTTTAACATTTAATTACATACGTACCGGTAACATACACAAATACGTACAGTAGATGTGTTTTTCTGAACAGTGCCTGTATCATGGCTGGTTAAATTTAATAAATAAATAAATACAGTAGCCTACCAGGAAAAGTCACTGATCGCTATGTTGGGTTTTTTTTGTTTGTTTGTTTCCTAAAACGTTGCTCTGCGCATGCTTACATGCAGCAGCTCTATTTCCTTCTTCGACAGCCAGATCGATGGCCTTTAACTTGAAAGCTGCACCGTATGCATTTCTGTGTGTTTTCCAGGATGAGGGTGTAAAATAACTGGTCTGAAGGATCTAGTGTGAGTGCGTTTGATTTATGGTCACTTGAAGTTTCATTGGTCCACTGTGACCTGTTTGTTAATTTCATTGGTCTGATTTATTTATTTATTTTTATTTTAACCTTTATTTATATAGGTAGTCTCGTTGAGTCAGGAGGACCCACCCCTCAAGAGAGACTATTGGGCAGCTATGTGAGCACCTGGGACTAGATGTTTTAGTGGCATGAAGCTTGTTAGCCCATCATAAATAAATAAAAATCCATAAATTAGCTGCAGCATTGTATAAGCCACGGGGTTCAGAGCTGTGAAAAAGTAGCGGCTTATAATCCGGAAGTTACGGTATATTGGTTTAAACTCCGCCAAAAGTTTCTTATAGCGTTTGTTTTCCATCTTGCAAACTAATTTTGAGATGTCATCTACAAATAACTTTGAGATAGCTTTTACTTACAGTTCTGTGGTCTCATTTAAAACTGTTGTATTTGTATAAAAGGAGACTTTAAAGATGCTTTTTTTATACGCTAGTCGAAGGCGGACATATTATCGTCTCTGTCCGTACATCCGTGAACCTTCTCTTTCTCTTTCTGCCCATAACTTCTGATCTGCTCAAGATAATTTAATTAAACTCGATACACTTATGCATCATAACTACACGGAGTGCCACATGCGCATTTCATCACCCCAGCTCCACGGTAAAGGTCACAAATCAAGGTCAAAGTTCAAACAAGTCCTTAGCTTGCCCTGCCCATAACTTCTGATCCACTCAAAATGAATTAAATCAACGTTATTGTCTTTTGTACCATCATGGCATCTTGTGTGATCTTTTCATCACCCAAGCACTAAGGGCAAGGTCACAAATCAAGGTCAAAGGTTTTACAAGGTATTTGCTTGTCCTGGCCATTGCTTTAATTTGCTGTAATAATTTGTTGACTGGCTAATACGGTGCCGTCTTGTGGACATAAAAGTTAGAATGTGTTGTAAAATGTTGACAGATAAATGTGTCAAACGATGAACTGATCTGAATGAAGATGTTTATTTCATACTGCAGAAGAAGATTGTATTGTTGCTGTCAGGCAGTAACTTTGTGTCTTCAGAAGGAAGAAACGTTTTCTAATATAAATACATTTTAAAAGTATATTTTAAATAAACAGCGTGGTCAAAAGTATAGTTTTGACACTTTTCATTAGTGAGCCAACCCTCGAACCTCATGCCTAAAACATAACATTTCTGTCTAACGTGTGTTTCAGGAGAAAGCCTCCATATCAGCTATGTGATCGGTGGAGTTCTGACCATCCTGGCCATTCTCATCCTCATAGCTGCGTTCATTATTTACAGGTCAGCTTCTGCTTGAGGCTAAACCTTTTCATACACTCACTTGCAATTCAGTTTGTGAGCCAGGTGCTTTGACGTTCTTGTTCTTGATCCACAGACACAAGAAGTCAAAGTTCGCTGAACCAGGAGTGAGCAACCTGACCTACAGTAACCCCTCGTATCGGACCTCCACACAAGAGGTCAAGATCGAAGCGTCACAGAAGCCTCCCATATACAACCAGCTTCGATATAAGAAAGAGGTAACAACCAAGATGAACGCTGAAGTCACAGCAACGACTTTCAGTGTTTTGGTTTGATTTTTGGATTTAAAGGGTATTTATCAGAAAATGATCAGACTGTTTGTTTGTTTTTTTGTGGGGAGCTAAAGAGAAATTTAATTTGTCTCTGACTGGATTAAATGTTATGGATTATTGTGAAATGTGCCACACATCACTCATCTCCTCCTCCTCTTTGTTCCTCACTGCAGCGCTCCCATCCCTACAACTCCCTCTCTCCTTTTATTTTTTGACCCACTTGTCCCAAGGAGAGGTAGCTGCACAGCATGAAAGAGTGGCTTCCCTGTCTAGCTCTCACATTTTTTAATTTCTTTCTTGTAGTGTCTGTGTCTCTTACTGCATGAAACCTTTCATCCAAAATAACTAATACTATAGTGAGGTGTCGGAGCTCTGTGATCATTGTGATGAGTAGCATGGCAGGGTTGGTTGGACTTTAAGCCACTTGGACTGCTGGAGTTCAGATGGCAGTTCAAAATTACCGTACAAGAAAATTGTATGGGGGAAAAAAAGCACATTTTCATTTGTAATTTGAGTGTTTGCAACCAGCAAGTTGTGCAGTCTTTGCAAATCATAGTTTATTTTGTTCTGCGTTTAAAAAAAAAAGTATTCTAGGCCATTCACATCGTTTCATTGCCTACTCCTGCCATCCTAAGTCCGCTTTGTACCCATGTTGGCAACTGCCCCCATGTTAGTGTTTTAGATTTGAACCAGTTTAGTTTACCATCCTCGTTTTAAACCTACCAGTAAATTTTGTGGACTGTAGCCTCACATGTTTTCTGAATAACTCCATATCTCGACAAAACTACCGTAATAGAAACAATGCAGTTCTGTTCTAAAATAATAACTAGGTTTGCCTTAAACAGCAGAATAGGTTGTGCTTTCACTGCAAGCAGTAACTACTTCAGTAGACCCTTACTGAGACTCTGGCTCATGTGTATTAATGCACCTGTTGCAGGAGTTGGAGAAAAATCCTCTAAATATACCATACCATACCATACCAATTTATTTATATAGCACTTAAAACAGCAACAAGGCCAACCAAAGTGCTGTACAAAAGAACCAAACATGCACAGCAGACAAAGAAATATAGGCTGGTAATTAGAAAAAGCCTCACACACCTGCTATTGCTCACTCAGCCTAGCTAAAATACCACTAGTCTGTTTTTGTATTTGTGTATTGAGGTGAGCCCCGAGTTGTCAAACTCTCAGCCTGTTCAGGTGAGACCCTCTCAGGGGGATGGTGTGGGGTGTTTGAGTGGGGCGGTAAACCAGTCAAATCGTAACACAGGTGCCGCAAGGACAACACATCGTGGAAACATCCCATAAAACTCATGGGAATCTCCGCACTGCAACGTAAAGTCCAACATCTGCCATGATAGTCCCAAGTGCCCTTAACGAGTAATCACTGTAGGAGAATACGATGGTTATTTTTCACATTCGGACCAGGCAAGTGTCAAAAACAAACCAACAGATTATATAACAAACCAGATACGGGAACACCGAGCACACGGTCCAAGATTGTCGAAGGCTGATGACGTCAAGAACCGGACGAGCCACAGGCAAGAATGTATTCCTGATGGAGGAGTATGCTAGTGAGGATTTCAGTGGAGAAAGTTCAAGTGATTTAGAGGATACCTTTTATGTCTTATCTGCAAACGATGAAGAACAAAGTAGAACAACATTCGGTGCTGACTGCGCAGCAGTTTCCCAGGTCCTGAGCACGGTGGGTGGTCAATACTTGGCACATCTTCCCTCAGTCTGGTGCCATACATTACCTTAAATCCAAATCCCTGCATCATTGCTGACTCGTACTCCTCAGATTGAAAATGTTCAGATCACAGAATACTGGTCGGCGTTGGTGCAATGAAGTCAGCCCGTTTGACTCCGATAAACTTTACCCATTTTTCCTAAATGTCTTTGATTTTCGGGAAATAATGGGTGCCTGCTCCCTCCTTAGCTGTTTTTCCACAGAACTGTGCAACACACCGATTCAGCATTTTGTTCCTGTCACAAGTATTTTTCCTGAAATTACTGGTGTGAAGTATAAATCTGGCTGTCTCACCTGATGTCACAGCCCATGTAGGACAGTGAAGGGCTGTTTCCAAAGCAGCAGCTTGACAACTCGCATATATTCATTTTTAACACAAGTTTGTGTTACTTTTCAACATTTGTCACAGAATGTGTTTTTGATTTTTATGTCTCTTTCATATTTTTGCTGCATATGCAATATGAAAAGAATGGTGGGTGTTGGACTTTAACATTTACAGGATTTTCTTTTTAACGAACACCTAATACACATTTTATTTTGCAAATACAAAATGAAGTGCCAAGTAACAAATACTTACACATTTCCTTACCATATCAAAAAACAAATGAGTTGCAATAATAAAAAAAAATCAGGTCTAGAGTAGAGCCCAACCGATATATCGGTAGAGACGATATTTTTGGCTGATATACCGTATTTTTCGGACTATAAGGAGCACCGAATTATAAGGCGCATTAAGCGAAACAAAACAGTTAGATAAGTCAAATTGTATTCAACTCATTCACAATAACTATACAAAATTTGTGTGAAGTCGGTAAGCACAACCAGAATTAATACGTAAAGCTCACTATCGATTTTTGAGCAAATGAAAGGATTTTAAGTGCGCCTTATTGTCCGAAAAATATGGTGGACATTTAGGGATCTATCGGTATCTGTGATAATGGTCCCATTATGTGCCGATATAAGCTCTTCAAATTTTCATCCCTAGAATACTGGGAACCAGCTGTAATTGTACAATTTATCCAGCAGAGGGCGCATGAAGACTACTTTCAAGTCATTGTCATTCATTTTAAGTTTCACTTTCGTGTTCAGCACAGAGGAAACGGGGAGCAATACTGTGTATCATATTTTGCTACACCGAGCATGGTGTTTACTTTAAATGATCTGTAAAATTTATTTAAAAAATCAATATGTTTTCTTCAATCCTCCAACCTGCTTGTCATTAGCTCTCAAGTTAGCAAGCTAAAGTGTTTAGTTGCACCTCCTTCTTGACATTAGCTCTGTTGTCAGTAGTTACAGCAACAGTCCTGTTGGACTGAGCTTCCAGCTTGTGAGAACATCCAGGGTTGGTAACGTTACAGTTGTCGTCCTCATTAAAGTGCATTGTTCGTCTGAAATCTTTATTTCTCTGCAAAGAAAAATAAACATCGCTGTGGTCAATACTAATTAGACCGTCATCATACGTGACTGACTGTTTCAACAATGAACAGGGAAGGGTGTTTCTTTAATTTATATTTTTGTAGCACACATGGTGACTAGTGGAGGATAGAAAATGTGAACGCACGTTAGGAAGACTGGTTTTATGTCCAATGCACCACTTGTAAACCTACTGTGGGACTACTGGTAATTAAAGCGTGCATCTGGTTAGCTTAGCTTGATGGTTGCTAACAGCCGTGCTAAATAAACAAGGCCAGCTCCACTCGCTGTTTTCTTAGATTCTTAGGGGTGGACAAAGCTCAGAAATGTTCAGCCATTATATCTGTTATCGGTGAACCCACCCCCCAATATTGGTATCGGCGATAGCCAAAATTTCCGTATCAGCCAGGCTCTACTTTAGAGTTACTAAAACAAAACTGATTACGACACATTCTCTCTGAACTTTGTGTGTTTAAGGCCAGGCAAACATCAAGCCGTGCTGCTGCCTGTTTTCAGTTTGCTGTTTATCAATAACTGTCACAACTGAATGAGATACTGGCTTTAAAGGTTTTCCACGAACTGGATAGACAAATTAACAAGCATGAACATTTCTTCTTTTCTGAAAAAGGATAGAGTAAAATAAAACGTCCTTTTCATGCCATTAAACAATTCAGTGGGTATGCATACACACCGTACACATCAAACATGTAGCATCCATCCATTATCTTTTACCCGCTTCTTCCATTTTGGGTCATGAGGGTCGCCGGTGCCCATGTCCAGCAATCACTGTGCGAGGAGCCAAACACGTAGCATTTGATATGAAAAGAAGATAACTAATATAAAACACCATGTGTGAAACTGGGTTTGGCGTGCTCACCTGCCTGGTTGTTGATTAATCTACTTTTAACAGGTTGTACAGGAAATGGATGCATTGAAATAAATCAAAATACTCTGACAATGTCTCAATTTTCCTGAAGGTGCCATTTTTCTCATTAAACTGTGTGTCCTTATCCAGGGGGGCGTGGACGGAGGTTACACAAAGGAGAAGATTCGTATAGTCGAGGGTGTGTGCCTCTTGTCCAACGAAGAGCTTTACTGGGACGACCTAAAACAGATCAAGCCGTCCCGCGGCGGCCTGCACACCTGCATACGCACCGACACCGTGTCCCTGCAGGCCAGCAGCGCTTCACTCGACGACGGCGAGACTGAGCAGCTCCTCCAGGAGGAGGCATCCGAGTGCTCCTCTATCACCACGCTGACCCCCTCGGCCATCACCCCGCAGCGTCACGCCCAGCACAGCCTGCCTGACACTGGCTGGGCTTCCATACGCAAACCTTCCACTGAGAGCGAAGTGTGAGAGAAGCCTGCTGCCCTCTGTGTGCTTCATAAACCATCATTACAGGACACACACACACACACACGTATGCAGACACTGTATTCAGAGCCAGTGCAAAGATTAACAGGTACAAACAGTAACAGCGGCATGGGTAAGCTAACAGTACATATGAACCTGGTTAGAAACACAAAAACTACTCCCGTCTTTGAAACTGGGGCCTTGTCCTACTAGTAAACACACACACATGCACATAGAACAGCCCTCAGAGCTACCGCCTCCAGGCAAAGTGATAAACGAAGGAGCCTGCTGGGATAAGAAAGCAAAAAGACACCAGGGAGGAAGTGAATAAAGAAACCCAAACAGTATCCGGAGCCTTTCAAAGAACGGAGACGAACACTTCTCCGTGCGTCAACTCTGCTTTCTGTGCATTATTTTTGGGAGGAAGCTAAAACGACATGATGTGACCGCAGCGCTCGCTCAAATGCCACTCGTGTGTTTTTAAACGCTATTTATGAACTTTTTTTTTAGTTATTATTATATTACTCTTGTTGAGTGAGTTTGCTGACTTTCAGATGATGAGTGTGATGTTTGAAGTTTGTACAGCGGGACCCGGTTGTATTTATGACAGTGCCAAAGGGTGAGGCTCCACACAGTCTCCTTGCTTCTCTCTCTCCGTGAACACGTGCATTGAGATTTCTCATTATTCCAGAACATTTAACGTTACTGACTCGCCGTTGCAGTTTGAGACCTCAGCCATGATTTGCTCACCTACAGCCTCCAAACAAGAAAAAAATCTGTAGCAGGTACTCTCGAGTGGTCAAAATGAGCTTTTTTAAGTTATATTTTCTAATTCTTGGACATAGAGTGCCAAACCTTGTTTCAGCCTTTCTCCTTCTTCTGTTGTGTATTTATTATCCATACAGGAATTCATAAGTTCATGACATTTTTTTTTTAATTTCCTACTGTTCAGCCATGCAGATAGTTGTGGTTTTATGTCCTTGGTTTATACAAGTGGTCAACATAAGAGTTTCTTATTTTATTGTTATTCTTGATATTTAAAAAAAATAGGCAAAACAATTATTTTGAGGTTTTCCCAACACAAATGATTTATTCTAGCACTTGCTATTACAATGTAAAGATATTTAATGTTAACTAATTCATGAATTTATTGTATTAAGGTGATAAAAATAAGTATTTAAATTACTTTTCGCATTTCCGGTGTTATAATGTTTAAAAAAAAACTAATTTTCTCATCACTTATTGAGAATTTTTTTTATTTTTTTTTTATTAGCCCTAAGCAACATTATTTTTGTTGCTTCAGTTGCTATTACTATGGAGAAAAATTGCAGAACATTGTAGTTTTTTTTTATTTTTTTTATTAAAACAACTTTTTCTGTATCATGTTTGCAATTTCAGTGTCACGCTCTTTTAAATTACACTGCCTGGTCAAAAAAAAAAGTTGCCACCTAAAAAAAGGTCTCGCACTAATATTTCATTGGACCACCTTTAGCTTTGATTACATCATGCATTCACTGTGGCATTGTTTCAATAAGCTTCTACAATGTCACCAGAGCTGTTTCCATCCAGTGTTGAATTAATTTTTCACCAAGATCTTGCATTGATGACGAGGCACTATTCATGATGGGTGCATCACTTCACCTGCCTCTCTTCTTACCCAGATGCACCCATCACTCTGGAACAGGGTCAGTCTGGACTCATCAGACCACATGACCTTCTTCCATTGCTCCAGAGTCCAATCTTTATGGTCCCTAGCAAATTGAAGCCTTTTTCTCCAGTTAGCCTCACTGATTAATGGTTTTCTTAAGGATACACAGCAGTTCAGTCCCAATCCCTTGAGTTCCCTTCACATTGTGCATGTGGAAATGTTCTTACTTTCACTATTAAACATATTCCTGAGTGCTACTGTTGATTTTCTTCCATTTGATTTCACCAAATGTTTAAGTGATCACCGATCACGATCATTCAGGATTTTTTTTCAGGCCACATTTCTTCCTCGAAGACGATGGGTCCCCACTATCCTTCCAGTTTTAATAATGCGTTGGACAGTTCTTAACCCACTTTTAGTAGTTTCTGCGATTTCCTTAGCTGTTTTCTCTGCTTGATGCCAATGATTTGACCCTTCTCAAACAGACTGACATCTTTACCACAACCACATGATGTGTCTTTCGACATGGTTGTTTAAGAAATGAGAAGCAACTCATCACACCAGTTGGGATTAAATAACTTGTTGCAGCTGAAAGATAATCACCCATGCAGTAATTATCCAGTAGGAGGCTCGTACCTATTTGCTTAGTTAAATCCAGGTGGCGACTTTTTTTTTTTTTGGCCAGGCAGTGCATCTTTGTGTACAAATTTCTCGAAACTTAGAACATGTAACCAAAAGTATCTGCTTGGTCAAAAACTGTACAGAGGTAAATGAGAATGTGTGTTACTTCTTAATTTAAGTTTGAACCATTGGTGTCAGAAGCATTTGTAATGTGTGTGTGGGGGGTCTGGGGGTCCTCCCCCATAAAATTTTAATAAAGTAGATGCCATTTCCTGTATTCTGCTGTATTTCAACGGGTTATTAATCATCTGTGTTTACCTACATGAGTAACACTTGATTCAATAACTATTTTAGAGTTAATGGATCAACAAGAAGTAGCCTGACCAACAGCCCTCCTTGTGTGAATAGAGAACACTCCATTTCTCACGCATCCTATCCAACAGCTGCCGGCACTAATGAAGCTCTAAGCTAGCATGCAGCACAGAGGTGTCTCCTCCCTCGACCTATCGAGAGAAAAAAAATCCTCAGAAATGAGTACATTGCTCATCAGTGCACTCATTTCTGACTTTTTTTCTCAAGTGATCTCAGGGAAACACTGCATGCCGTGTGGCAAGTTGTTGTAGGTAACCAGGAAAATCCAGAGTGGACTTTTAGTGGTTTGAATATTCGATTAATCAAGTGGAATGGGTTAGTTCACAAAGACATGGAAAGCGCTGGGTGAACTAATATTTCAAATGAAGTGGTACTGGTAACGGTAAATGTGTGTGTGTGTTTTTTTTTTTCCAAATTAGTATTTTTTTTTTTTGATTGGGACACGTCCCCTTCACATATAATTGTTGCGACGCCTATGGTTTGAACCATCAACATTAGATAGAAAGCAGTGGTCATCTCACAGTACAGGCTAACAAATGGGTCACTTTGATACAGCGTGCTTGTCTGACCTCTTAACACAGTTAACATACTCAAATATTTTACTGAAAGTAAATATTATGTGTATTGCTTTATCTTTAGACAAAAATGTTTGCTGTTGAGATGCAGTACAAGGAAATACTATATTACTATACTGACAGATATATCTTTTCGATACAGTAGAGCCATGTTTTTTGAAGTATCTGCTACAGCAACATGCTGATTTGCTGCTAGACTAAGCACTGAGGCAATGAAAGAGGCAGCTATGTAACTACAGTCTCTAATGGTTACTTGACAGTAGGCCGACAACGTATCACAACCCAGTATCAAACTCTCGGCTCACAGTCCCTCCAACTCTGCTGCAATGAATGCTAAAACTGTACAGATTTTAATATGCTGACTAAATCATAATTTCTGTTAATATTGTGTTAATCAAGTTGTATAGTCTTTTGTACAAAGGGATTTCATTACCGTTTTTAGACTTGCATTAATTTTACTCACTGGAAAAACCTTTTTTTTTTTTTGTTGGTTTTGCTGGATTATTTTAACCACTGTGTTTAAAGTCTTGTAAATGATAGGGAAGATGCCAGTTATTTAATAGTGCTCTTATATCTTATGGTATACTGGTCACATATAGCTGTTGTAAAGTTAACAGAAAGAGGTATTTATGATTTCTCTCCCCCCTCCCTCTCCCCTCCCCCGGTTTTTGTTTGACTGTCACTTGATGTGTAAATATGAAAAGTCTGTATATGTATTTCCCTGGCAGTACTAACGAGCTGTGTTGTGTGATATAGTGAAATATCCCTTTGCTATCTTTTAATATAAAATTGCATTTGCATTTCAATGAAACCTTCGAGTCTCTTGTCTTTGCACTGTGTTCTATTATTTACAGTACTCATTTAATAGGAATAGGATAAAATGTTACTACAAAAAGCAAAGTATTGAGGACATACAGAATGTTCTCTACATAATACTGTAAATGCTCAAATCATGGGAGCGCAAAGCTTTTATATTAAGATAACTACATGTAGGAAATCAGGGTGTTATTGCAGTAAGACAACTTTGGCTTTTAATTCAATAATTCTGTGCTTCAAGACTTCCATTTTACTTAAATATGACAAATTTGAATCAAAAATAATGTAGATGTAATTTGAAACCTTTGAAAGAAATCATTGCAACCAAAAAGGGGGGCGGAGTGCAAACGTGAGCACGTGACATAACACGTTTTGTCATTGGCTGTGCATGATGACTGACGGCTGATTTGCCCAATCAACGCTCAGACGTCCTAAACGTTTCAGCCAATCAGAAGGCAGTTTAAAAGTAGCGGGTTTGCGTTCGATTAGCAGGCAGAACGAGGAGTTGGCTAAAACGAAGCCGTTTGCCAAAACTATTCTGAAGTTGCAGAACTTGGCGTTAACAGTTCCTCAGGTGTTGTATAAAAGCCATCCTTGTAAACTGAAGGACAGCATATATCTATATCTCCATTGAAGAGCAAGCAGAACGGGATATGTAAGTTGCTACTTAAGCTAACTCGGCTAGCTAATGCGCTTAATTTAATGACGACTTCGAAATACATTTTGACTCGGATGTTTTTCACAAGCGTGGGATTGAAGACGATTCGCAGTAGTGTCGTATTTTACAGGAATGCTAAAGAAAGTAGTCGATGATGTGTAAGGAGACCACGAGGTAACCTGCGGACATTTTTCTCTGAAACGTGTTGAAGTCAAGGGACGGTGGGGGTGAGAGTGATGAGTTGCACCTCAGCTGGGGTGTCTGGTGCAGTGACGTCAGCACTCCAGCCTGACTCATGAGAAGACAAACAGTCGTGCACAGGGGCCATCTGACTCCCCCCACCCCCACAACATGTCCATCATCAGCTGGGTTTACATAAATAAGGCCTTCTGTCGGTGCCATGCATGTGTTTTGCATGAAACTGCAGTTTTAACATTTTAGTTGTGCTTTAATATTTATTAGGCCCAATTCATGCAATGTCTTTTCAGATTGGGTTATGTGAATTATTGCAATATTGCAAATAAAAAATATGTATATATGCATTTAAAAATATCAGTCATCCAGTTACAAATTAGTTTTAACATTTAAGCAAGTTCTGCCTTGAATAAATGTGTTTATTTGCACAATTGTCATAATGCAATGTGTAACACAATACAGTACGTTGTAGAGATAATGGAACACTAAAAGTTATTTTTATTTTACAAGTTGTGCATTCTTTTTTTCTTATATTTTTTACACTTGTCCTAACTATTTTTATTTTTCATTCTGGTGTAAGCGAATTGAGAAACTGCGGCGCGTCTAAAGGGAAATCTGTGCTGATTGGACCTGGAATTCCTTTACTTCTCAAGGTTTGTGTTGTTTGTTTGTTTGTTGTGTTGTTTCTTTTCTTTTTTTTAAGCTGCAGTGTGTAACATCTTTGTGAACTTAAAGGCAAAGCTGGTGGTATCTGACTGGGCTGAGAGTTGTTGAGTCATTCCTGAGAAGAAAATCTGAATGTTTCCAGAACGTCTTTCAACTTTTCCAAAATCCTCCACTTTCTTGCATGAGTCTCTGAATCACACAGCCCCGTGCCTAGGCCTGTCACAATAAATCAATTATTCACATGATAAAAGAAAATTCTCGACCTCATTTTCATTTATTGGCTTTGTTTCTTCGCATCTCTGTCTACTGAAGACACTGGATGACAAAAGTCTCAACGCCTGCGTTCTTCACTGACCCCTCCCTTTCTCTTTAAAATCCATTTTAACTGTCCAAAATCACGTTTTTTATTTTTTTATTTTTATTATTGTTAAAAGCAGCTAAGCTAACAAGCTGACCTCACTTAAAAAAACTCTTGTCAAAGCTCAAAAACCAGTGACACGTCAGTGTCTAATGCTCACTGCTACACACTGACGACCTTTACACTCAGCAGCTTTTCTTCAGAAACATGGACATGTCTGCTTTCTGTGGACACAAACAAGCCCGCTCCTGGCTGATGGTGTCTCCAGCAGTAGAAAGTATTCACTCTGAGGGTGTGGATGATGCTTGTTGCACACACACAAACCCGGTTGCCAACTTTGACAGCACTGACATATTGTCCCTCACATTCCAGCATCAGGTCACTGGTTTCACTGAGGTTAGGGTTGATGCAGACTTCTGCACCTCTGTATCTCTTCCTGAAACTTCTATGTGGTTCCTTTTATCTTTTACAGCTTACAAGGGCTGGACAATGATTCAATATTGATATATATCACAATATACTTTTATTCAATGACAGCGATATGAGTTTTAAGCACATTTTCTATATGATTACAGCGTTTCACTGACTCGTTTCTTTTTCTGCTCGGGTTGAAGCGGCCGCTTCAGTTTCAACCCGAGCAGAAAAAGCTGCGACACAAGTTCGTGCGTAGTGACGTAGATGTTACGCAGAGCTCGAGTCCAGAAGGCAGTAGCAGGCTAGGCTAGCCTAATCTCCAACACTCGTTAAATTTTCGCTTCAAAATGAGTTCCATGACCATCAGAGAAAGCGGTGTGGAAGTGGTCCGGCATTCTAAGATCCAAGGTCCGATAAACTGCAGGTTTTAGTCGGTGTACTGCAAAATGACGTAGAGTCGTTCTAACTAGCAGTGGGAACACATCTAACTTGTTCCAAGTTTCCACTGATGGAATCTGCTGAGTCCGAAGATGAAGCACAATAAAAGTTTGAGCCAACGTCCCTGAAACACCACCCCCAGCTGTATCAAGAGAAACACATGCAGTGCCATTATATTCTACCATGTTGTTCAGTATCTCTTTAGAACATTGTAAATATTTTCACTTTTTTGTGTACTCTTATTGCACGCTTTTAGTATTTCTTGTTGGTTTGTTTGATTTAGTTTTTATTTTATTTTTTGCGAGTCAAATCGGTTCTTCTCATCCTAAGCCCTTCATTGTACTGTTAACCCTGTGTTGACCTTACAAATGATGAACACGACTTGAACAAATGCAGACGTTTACTGCATGGGTTAGGTTATGTTGTTGTCTGAAGTTAAAACTTAATACTGACTAAGTTGAGAGTTTTATGTTTATTTGACGTGATTTCAAATTTGTTTGAAGGCTAAAAATAAAAGGTGAACATTAATTTATTTGTACAGTTTGCATCGTTTTTCTGAGTCTTTTGTATTGTTTATATTTATCGAATTATATTCTTGACCAAAAAAGAAATGTATCGTGATAAAGGTTTTGGCCGTATCGTCCAGCCCTACAGCTTACTTACCTCCACTGTAGAAACAGGCAGCAAACTTTTAACAGAGTTTGTGACTGTCCTGCGGCCCCCACCTCACTTTTCTTTGTTCCTTTTGTCCTCCTCACATCGGGGTCAGAGGCTCCTGTGAGGAGAACATGAACCGTGAACTGCTTAACCAGCTGACCGGATGGATGAGCACATTTTTTCAAGCTAAGCTTTATCTGTTACTGTCAATCCTTAGTTAGCTTTTGATTTTAGCTAGCTACGTAGATAGCCATAAAATAAAGCTACACACTAATCTCTTAAAGTTAGTGTTTACATGGATCCTAGTTTGACTCGCCACGATGCACATTTAATATGTTGCAGAAACGTTAACAAACATAAAATTGCCAGCTGAAATCCCAGACACGGCTCCGTCCTCGGTGCGCAGCAGAGTCCAGTCGTGGAGATTTTGAATGAAGCCGTTCAGGCTCCAACAGCCACAGGCTGACTAAATGCTGAGAGGAGGCGGCTGCTGTCCTCTCTCCTTCCAGTCAAACACAGAGCAACTTTACGCTCTTAAACTGATTCTGTGCACGGTCACGCGCTGTATATTATGGCTTGCCTTAGAAACTGTGAACCCCGTCTGTGAGCGTAACCACATACCAGGTATGTGTTTTTCCTGGTTGAAGCCACGTGTAACAGTACAGCCAATCACCGAAACTTGACACCGAAAGACGAGGCGTATTTTGATAGACCGACTGAAGCAGTTCGGTCGGTACTCAGCCCTAGGTGGAGGTTGGGTTATAGATGCGTAGCGCTACATTAGTGCTGTCTTTAGTGCAACGTACTAGGTATGAAGTGGGTATGATGTCAGAAATGCACAACAAAATAATGCTTGGCCAAAAATGCCGTTTTGCCAACTGTGCACGCAGATCAGTGTGTTGCTCAAGAACACTTCATCATGTGGTGGAGGAAGCTGGGATTAAACCACCAGTTCTGACTGGCATACAGCCACTGTTCCCCCTGAGCCACAGCCACCTGTTCATCACATCAATTTTCAAATAGGTCTTACTTTAAATTATTATGTTTCAACTTTGACATGGTTTGTGCAAAATGTGGTCTTGAGATCGCTTTTCAGCTCTTAATCAGTGAAGGCTTTAACTGTTGTAACAGTAATTTCAACATATCAATGATAGATTTAGACAAATTGAAGTGTTGTGACATTAAAACGGGTTCAGTTGTGTTTTAACAAGGTTTTATTGCTGCTGACTGTGATGAGTTGCACTATTGTCAGGTTGCTGTTTGCAGTGGCACAGCAGACCTGTGCTGACACAATGTGCTGACACCTGTTGTGCACAGGGGCCATCTGAGTCACCTCACTATGACACAAACAAGTGACTACATTGTCTTGTGGTGTTATTGACTTTTTCATTACCTTTTGTTTCCTTCCCCAAAGCCTGGAGAGTGAAGAGGTCCCCATCAGAAAATTTGAAGACCGAAAGCATAGCTGTTCACCTGCTGCAGAAATGTCACCATCTAGTGCTGGAAAACATCTCCCCAGAAAGAAGATGAAGAGGTATTACACTTAACAAGTACTCAGCCTCAAACTTCAGATTCATTTACAAGAATATATTATTTTATAGTTAAAATGTTTTGAGACTTAAGGGTGCAAGGTTCTTCATTTGTCATACGCACCACATGTGGTACCTGTGGTGGAAGGAAACTACACAGGGTCCCAGTTACATCCAACAAAAGTATAAAATTTGAAAGAAAAACGATAATATGATCTAAGATGAACTAAGAAAAATGTTAATTAAAAATACGCTAAGCACTAATGGTACAAAAACAATACGCCAAACAGCAGCACGAACATGAGTGTGAGCAGATGAGTACGAATGAACATGGAACGGATCGGCAGCAACATGATGTGATTTTTTTTTCACAGTGATTATTCTGTTTAGAGATTCATGAGTCTTAACAGCCTCAGGGTAGAAGCTGTTCCTCAGTCTAGTGGTTCTACACTTAATGCTCCTCAACCTCCTTCCTGAGGGGAGTGGGGCAAAAAGTGTGTGTGCTGGGTGAGTGGAGTCCTTCATGATGCAGGTGGCCCTCTTCCTGCATCTGGAGGTGTAGATGTCTGTGATGATGGGGAGGCTGACTCCAACATCTTCTGTGCAGCCTTCACTCTCTGCAAAGCTTTTCTTTCTGCAGCTGTGCAGCCTCCATGCCACATGTTGATGCTGGAGCACAGGATGCTCTCCACTGCACACCTGTAGAAGGAGGTGAGGACTGAGCTTCTCAGTCCAGCTCGTCTCAGCCGTCTGAGGAAGTAGAGTCTCTGATGAGCTTTCTTGATCAGGCTGGTGGTGTTGCCCCAGCTGAGGTGATCGTTCATGTGTACACCCAAGTACTTGTAGCTGGAGACCACTTCCACCGCAGATCCTCTTATTCAAGGGGGTTAGGTGTGTTCGTTCTGTCTGAAGTCCACAATCATCTCCTCCATCCTTCCATTAATCATTTATACCTGCAAACTAGTCACTTTTCGGCGAAATTCAACTATTTCAAACTAAAATTTAATTTACGTGAATCGTCAAGATCCGAAGAGATGTTTTGGCTCAGCGGGTTCTCATCTTTTCGAGGGGGTCGGCGGGGGGAGGAGTGGGAGACACCTCCGTGTTGCACGCTAGCTTACCGCTTCGTTAAAGATGTCTGTTGTTGACTGTGTGGGGGGTGGGGTTAGGATGTGTGAGAGAAACGGAGCACGTAGCATCTTTGCTGGCACGTCTTTATTGTGCGCGGCAAGATTTTGTTTTAAGATTTGAAAAATCCAGCTCATGGTGTTCTGGAGGATATCTTGAAGGATAAATATCATGTTATGGAGAAATAATTCATTCATTCGACCTTTAGACAGGTAATCCCATTGAGCCTCAAGGACTCATTTACAAGAGAGACCTGATTTCAACAAAGAATGATGACAACAATGGACAACAGAGACAACAATAGACAATTATAAAAAGTCAAACAGATTTATTTATTTTTATTACAAATAGGATGGCTAAAAAAAGAAAAGCAACATAAAAACAGCTAGATTCTAAGGCGAATGTAGAAAACTTAAAAACAGGAATGTGTCTGCAATGGTCCTTGCCAATGCAGACACATTAAGGCAAGTTAAACAAGTTATATGGAAAGTAAAAGTAAATGTGGTTAAATCAGTGATGGGGAAGGAATAGTGGAAAGGAAAACGATGGGAGAAGGATGTTATTCCAAGTGGATTGTGAAGGTCATAGTGTTGTAGTACTCGAGTCTGGTCTTTGGCTCGAGACCACTTTTTGATGATCTCCATCTCCAAAATACCATTGATTTACATTGTGTTGTTTATCCACCCTTGTTTCTGTGCAGTAACATTACATTACACTTTTTTTTTATTTATTTTTTTATTTTATTTTATGTGACATACATTTATGAAGTTGCTACTTATTTTTAAGTGTTTTATTTTTATGTAATGGATATTCATATGACCAGATGTACTAATTCCTCCCTCATATTTTTTTAGGTTCTTGGAGTCCAAGGCAGGGCAACAGACTCATGTCACACAGCCATCAGTATCATTATTTACACAGAACATGCAGCTCTACAGCCCACAATCGCCAAGGCAACAAGCCATCAGTGAAGCCATTGTTCAAGATTTGATCATTGGGTGTCGTCTGCCTTTCTCACTTTTGGAAAATGGGGATTTTAAACACTTTATGAAGTTCTGGATAATAAATACACACCAATCTCTAAAGAAACAGTTTTTGAGAGACTTAATTCCAGAGTTTGTAAGAAAGGTCAAGGAAACCATTTTGGAGAAACTGAAGACCCAGTCGTCTGTGTCCTTAACAACTGACCTCTGGTCTGATCAAAGGCTACGCTCCTTCCTTGGGGTGACTGCACGTGTGTGCTACAAATCAAAGGATTCCTATGCGCTTGAATCCCATCTGCTGGATTGTAGGCGTTTAACAGGCGGGTGCGCTGGAGAGCATATTGCCTTTGAGGAGATCAGAGGAATATGGTATCTGTGACAAAATAAGTTCTCTTAACAGACATCACTAGCAATATGAAATGTGCTATCAAAGTACACATGCCCCAACAGCAATCTGATGACAGTGAAGAGGATAATTCAGAAGACGAACACATGTTTGATGACATTAATTCAGATGAAGACACCGAATTACCCAGGTCATCTGGTGAACGTCGTTCCTGTTTGCACACACTGCAGTTAGTTGTGAATGACGTCATGAAGGAGGTCAGGACCATCTCTCACCATAGCCAAAACGTCACGGTTCACAACCCTACTACATAGCAACTCACAATTCAAAGACAAGTTTGAAGCCATGCTTGGTACCAATAGGACTGTTCCAGCTGCAAACACAACTAATTGGAACAGTACATTTAAACGAATACAGGCCCTCACAGCCCTGGACCACAAAGCCCTGAACAAAATGTGCACCATGGATTACGAGGATATGGTGTTTAGTGCTCGTGAGTGGAACCAGCTGAAGGACCTGAGTGCAGTTCTTGCTCCATTTCCTGAGGCAACAGACATGACAGAAGGGGAGAAATAATTTACCATTAGTATGGTGGTTCCAACTGTCCTGGACTTAAATACACACCACCAAGATGGAGGAGACTAATGCAGTGCCGGCCATTCGTCTGAGCCCTCCAGCAGTCTGGTGAAAAGATGTTCTGGAATCTTTACAAAAACAATCATGGCCAAAGACAGTGGAAGAGAGGAACCTTTTAACCACGATGCGTACTACTTTACTACCATGCTGGATCCACAGTTTGGCTTAACCTGGGTGGACTTGGATGTTAAAAATGGGGGAAGTGCATCAGTGAAAAAGTTGAGAGATGAACTTAAGACACTGACAGGTTAGTATAAACTTTTCTCTGCTGAAAATAAATGTCTTATTTGCAAAATCATAAATCCTGAAATGTTTCAAATTGGTAGCCCATAAAAGCCTTAGTCTTCAGTGGAATTCATAATCTTCATTTCATCCGTTTACTGTTGTGTCTCGAGGCTCAATGGGATTAACCCGTCTAAATAAAGGTTGAATAAAATAATTTTGTACACTCTGAGCTTATTGAACCTGATACTCGTTATATTTAGGCTGGTAACATGCCTATTGTACATAATCCTGGCTCGCTTTATACTAGTCCATCATACTCACCTGTAGAGAGAAATCTAAGTACTAAGTACTAGTCGAGTAGTATTAAAAAAATGTGGGCTAGCAGTTAGATTTAGTACAGCAGCACCTTGTAACCTAAATAAATAATAATTTATTGAATCATTTCATTACTGACCTGCACTGGATAAAATAACCAGCATTTAATTTTACATTAACCATGATTATTTGAATAGCAAGAATATAAAAGGTCCTAAAAATATTTAAACTCTTGATATGTGCATATCCCTTGAAATCTAATTCGGTCACTGTGTTTTTCAGAAACATTGATCTCTGAGGTGGAGAAGATGATGGACAGTAAAGATGGCGTGTGCTCAGGAGCCATGAATGTAGATCAGCCAGTGATTCGCCACCGACCAAATGCCCTCGCCTTCTGTCAAGGCATGCAAGAAGCACAGCTCAGTCCAGGATTCAAGTATTGTAACACAGATGAGCAAATACTTTGATGCCATCTGTGACTGATACTGACAATGCACTTGTCTTCTCGGCAAAAAACCATGCCACATTTCCACAACTCCACTATTTGGCATTGAAGGTACCGTCAGTCCCTGCCTCCTCTGCACCAGCACAAAGGGTTTTCAGTCGAAGGCATTTTAGAGACCCCATCGTGCACGTTTAGGCCACAGAATGTTGAATCGCTTAGGTTTATAAAATGCAATGAAACCTTACTTTACTAGGGCTGTTGTAAACGATTATTTCAATAATCAAATCATCTATAGATTATTCTGGCGATTAATCGAGGAATTGAAAACAAAATATGTCAGGTTCTGCAGTAATTGCTCATTTTATGAGTAATGTAAATACATGAAAAATAATTTTTTTTTTATTCCTCTTTATAAAAGATTTTATTGCTTAAAATGCAAAAACATGTTGAACCGCCATTTCAGTTTCAAGTCTGTGGTATATAACACATGCTTTTTTCCCTAAAATGCAAAAACAAGATAAATAATGTTTGGGTTGAAGGTGGAGATCTTCTGGAAGCCTTCGTCTTCCACCACGGACCACGGTCACATGTCTGTGATGATCCTATTTAAAATGCTGTTTGTGAACGCAGCTGCTTGCATAACCGAACATGCATCCTGGATCCCTTTGCACGAAGCTGTCCACTGTATGACTCTGCCATTTATTGAAAAGAAGTATAATAAAATT